CCCCCCCCCCCCCCCCCCCAGGCGTGCCAGACACGTCGACTTCCCTTGTCTGTCTTGTCACACGGTGCCATCGATACGAGGCGCACGGGCACTCACAAGAAATCAGTAGTTTATCGAAGACAGGAGCACGCGCGCAGGAGAGCCAGATGCAGTAAAGATCGACACGCCGCCAAGCAGCCTTTATGCTACCTCACAGTTTAGCATGTTGCTTGGGAGGGATTGCGGGCGTGCTGCCGCCGCCGACTGCTGCTGCTGCTGCTGCTGCTGCTGCTGCCAACTGCTGCACCATTGCCGTCAGACAGGAAGGATGATGACGGTGATAATCACGTCTCGCTCGGCAAGCCAACAGAAAGAGGCAATCTTTTCTTCTGATCCGCAGTCGACATCGACCCCCCTCGTCGTCCATCACAGCTCGTGAGCGGCAGAGCGCCCCGTGTGAGCGCTCGCGCAAAAAAAAAAAAAAAAAACCCTCGAGCCACCGCATGCTGTGCAAAACACTCAGATTCTCACTCCACGGCTTCCGGCCACATCCACCTGTCCGCAGCGCGCACTGCGGTCTCACCGGTTGCCAGCACCGCCCACCGCCCGCCTAGCTCCTCCCGTCCATCCACCACTTCCCAACCCGCCAACACCACAGCACCAGCAGCAACCTACGCTGGCCCGTCGGCCCTCGACGCCCGTAGTCCGCCTTCCTAGGCGTGCCATCTGTCCCGTGTCCGCCCGTGACGTCGGGGCGCAGCAGCGCGCCGGGTATGGCGCTCTCGGCTATCTCTCTCGGTTGGCTCGCTCGCCCTGCTCACCGCCGCGGCTTTGCTTCTGCCTGCGCCAAAAATAGCTCGTCACGGTATGCCTCTTTTTCTCTCACGTACGCACGCACCGCTGGCGCTGCTGGGGTGCGAACAAACAAGCAAAGTAGCTGCGGTAGTTAGGAGCTGGCTAGCAATTAGTGGCTTTCTGGTGGAGGCGGAGAGTGAGGCTGAGGATGATGGTCAAAAGGTGAAAGAGGCCGCGAAGATGCCTAGAGGGGCTGCAGCCTGGCAGGCGGTTAGTTACACTGCACCTTGCCCTGCCTCTGCTGGCCGAACACCCGCTGCATCTGGTCTCACGCGTCCTTTCTCTCTCTCGTTCACTGAAACCGCACCAGCAGCAGCAGCAGCGCTCGGGCGAGCAAGCGTGCGTGCATGCATACACGGCATTAACCACGGCGCCGAAGCGGAATCAAAGCTACAATAGGCAAAGCCGGAAGAAGCAGAAGAAGCGCACAGAAGGCGGCCTCGACGGCGGCGGCAGCGGCGACGTTGAGACGGGGCTGCGCTGCCCCATCGACAGAAGCCTGTGCCCGCTCTTCTAGAAGGCGCCGTGCGACGTCGCACGCTCGGCCTCGCTGTCACCTACCTAGCACTGGCTGACTCCTGAGCCGAGCCGACAAGATGCGTCTCTCACGAGTCGAGTCGACTCGACACAAACATACAGCACAGCAGCGCAGACCACGCCAATGCTCCACCACCGCTGCTCGCTCGCTCGCTCGCTCGTTCAAAGCCAACAACCCCCGCAGCCAGACAGCTAGCAGCGGCCGACGACCCGGCCAAACCGCAAACCCCCATCATCCATCAGCCGCTCAGCCGCTTCGTCCCCCCTCTCCTCCTCAGCCCGATTGCCTCGTTCGTACACTTATACATCCAGACAAGCCAGCGCACGCTCACTCGCAGCAGCAGCAACAGCACCAGCACCAGCAAACCCCCAAAATAATGGCATGATCGCAACCCTCCCCCATCCCCCATCTTCCCCACCAAGCTTCGCTGTCCGCAGTCTGCAGCGCTGTGTTGTTCTGTAGTTGCGCACCCTCTAGCGCAGCGCAACGTGCGGCCGAGCGGCCGAGCGCCGCCGACCGTTGCAGTGGACGCCCGCACGGGGCAGACGGTGCGCGGCCGGGGCCGGAGCGAGCGGTTCGCGACGCGCCAGAATTTGGCAACGGCGAGAGCGGACGGCGGAGGATCGGAGAGGGTCGGGATCGCGGTGGCCTTCGCTTGTTGTTGGGTTTGTTGCTTGGTCTGTTGAGAGGTAGGTCGTGGTGGTGGTCGCGGAGGGGTGGAGGGGTGCTGGGCCTGGCGCTGCTGCGTTGGCGAGGGCTGTGTAGCTGACTGTTCCGGTGTGTATGGGTGCAGTTCGTGTGCTAACTACCCAAGTACTTTGTCTACTTCGTACTGACAAGCAGATGCTGGATCTCTAACTATCAGGGTGCAGATTTATCAAACGCCGCGCTTGCTGCTTGCCTGCTTGCTTGCTTGCTTGCTTGCTTGCTTGCCTTCAGCTATCCAAGGGGGTCGTCGCTTTCGGAGGTGCTGAGTAGTTAATACTACTGCCGCTACTAGTACTACGACCACGACTACGACTATGACTACGGCTACTACTAATGATTAAGCGTACGCTAGAAACGGAAAGGACTTGCTGCTCGGCTGGAAGAGAAAAAAAGGGGTGCGGTTTCGGGCATTCAATCATCCAATCGTACACGCGTTAAAGCAAATCAAGATGCAAGGGGAGCAAGACCAGCGCGCTTCACATCGTCCGTCTTCGACGTCTTCACAGCTCCAGGCAGCTTGCCCGTCCGCTCGAACTCAACACAGTCGTCGAACGGCGCGTCGCTAATGCCACCAGCGAGGTCCTTTGCACTCATCGGGTGCGGCGGGAGTTGCTCGACATGCTCTCCCGACGCCTTGATGCTCAAGTCCGACGCGTCTCCCATGTACAACGGCTCCGTCTGGCCTGTCGCCTGCGCGCCCGTCTCGATCGTTGGTGGATGCACCCACGTCGTCTCCTTGCGCGTGAAGCCCTCAGGCGTCGTGTAAGTGACCTCATCACCCTCCTTCTCGGCCCACTTGCGCGCGGTGAAGCGGCGTGGCTCCTTAGGCGCAGGGTCGCTCTTCGGCAGACGCGACGCTGTCTCCGCGACGATCCAATTCTGCAGCGCGCCTGAGCGGCCTGGGACCGCAGATGCAGGAACTTCGCGCCGCGTGCCGTCGGCATCTTGCACGTAGTGCCGCGCGGGCAGCACTTCAACGTCAATTATTGGCAAGATCCGATGGAAGACGTCATGTGTATGGATTTCGCGGAAGATATGCTCTTCGCGAATGTGGTGCACCTGCGGATAGACGGTCTCGTGGGTGACGGCTGCGGAAATGTTAGTCAGTTGTGTCTATTTTCTTGCTAAATTCACTTACCTGGAGCGTAGTGTGCGTCGTAGGTGGTATCTTCGGTATTGCGCAAATCGACAATGCCTTTCAAACTCGGTGCTTCGGGTGCACCCTCGACGAGATATTTGGTTTCGCTGTCTGCTGCAAGGCTACCAGCGCTTGCTTTCGAAGAGAGCTTGTCTGAAGATTTTTTGTGCCTCAGCTCATGGGCAGGATGCTCAGCTGATCTCCGGCTGCCGGGTAGATCCCGCGTCGCATCGATTTGCTTGACCTCAACTGGAATATAGCTTTTCGCGCCACCGGGCATATCTTGTAGCATGTCAGAAAAAGTGTCATACTATGCGCGGGAGTACCGACCTAGGGGTGTTGCGAATACCGAACTGGAGCTGTCGTCGCCCAAAGTATCGTGTTGAAGAGCTGCCACATTGGCGAGTTTTTCACCATTCGTCATCGGCTTTTCTGGCATGTGCTCATCTTCCTCATAGGTAGAAGGCTCGAACTGAGAGGCCACATTACGGTCCGCTACATCTTCACCGTACCTCTGCCGACTGGGCCGCGTCATGAGGCGTTCGTCTCCCCCCAAAGACAGATGCTCAACGCCCGCTTGGAGGGTTGGGTCAACATCTTCAAAGTGCCTGTCGTCGTCGCCGGGAAGCGCCGTGCTAGACGGTACGCCTGACACTCGCCTATCTGCCTCGACTTTGCTTCTATTCGCAGAAGAGTCCATTATCGTTGTTGATGGCATGTCCAACGAGGCGTGAGGCACAGATTCGCTGGTGATGGGTTCCGTCGGTGCGCCATTTGATGGCGGCGAGTGCACCTCTCCCGGGTGATTGGGACTCGTGGGGGACGGGAACTGGCCCTGTCGCGGTGACGCACCTTGTCGCGGGGCCCTGCCGATTGTTGCAGATCGGTACGGGGTTGTTTGAAGAGGTTTGTCATCTTTCTGAGTCTTGTCCTCAACAACACTGCGGTTCCGGCGGTGGAAAAGACTCCTGATTCTGCTTGCCATCTGGAGGGGCTTGCGACAAAAAAGATCTGTGGGATTAGGGTATAGGATGGCACTGGGAGGGCAGTAGCAGCTGTTGGCGTCGCGATGGGATCGAACGGCCCAGAGCTCTTTGTTGCAGCTCCCCACAGGTGGCCGTTCGTCATTGCCGGGGCTGGCGCGATGACGCCCGGCCAGTGACGTCGCATGCGCGATCGGCTTGCGGCGCGCCTGGTGTGGCGTGTGCAGAACTGTGGCTTGCTCCTGGAGCAAATGGCCATGGTGGTCGGTATGGGAAATGACGATGTCGTTCCTCGGGAGGTCGATAACGCGACTCGCGGCCAGGATGAGGCCAGTTGAGGCTGGGGAATTGGCGCCCATTTCGACGCGTACATTACACAATAGGCACAGTGTGTCAGGTTTTGGGCGAGAGTGGCGCTGCTCATTACCGGTGTTGGCGGCGAGATTCGCATCTGCAGCAGGCATTGGCGGCGCAGCAACCGGCCCCCGCCCCGAGCGCGCATCTCGACGAACCCATCTCGGCGACGATCGGCCTGCTCTGCTGGCCTTGACATCCGCCACAGCGGAGTTAGTGTCGATTGCTTGTCGAATGTGGCTTGTGGCTGCTTTCCCAATCCGGGTCGAAAGACATCCATTCGATGGACGTCCATCGTCACTGCCCCCCAGGTATGATGTATCCTTCGTCTGCGTCATCGACAGTCTGGATCAGAGCAACACTTACTTTTTAAAGACCACCTCCACCACCCTCTTCCTCATCATCACATCAATCATCTTCCTCTCTCAACAACAACAACAACAACAACAACAACAACAACACAACTCTCACACTTCCACCCTTCCACACTTCTACCTTTATACTTTCAATCATCCAATCCCACTCCTAAACCGACAAAATGGACAAGGCCAAGGCTGCTGTTTCCGACTTCATGGCCAAGGCCGGCCACCACGACACCACTGTCCACGAGAAGGTCGCCCCCGCTGTCACCCACGAGACCGTCAACCCTCACAGGCATGAGAACATCACGACTGCCGTCGACAAGGAAATTCACCAGGATCACTACCACACCTCGGTGCAGCCTGTCTTGGACCGTGAAGTCCTCCCCGAGACCCACAAGCACAACCTTGTTGCTGTCGAGCACCGCCAGTATGAGCATGGCAAGGCTGAGGATGTGAAGCTCCGTCTTGAGCAGGAGGCCGCTCAGTTCATGGACAAGCGCGAGGTCACCGCCACCCGGGAGACCCGCTCCACGGCTCCCGTCGTCGGTGGTGAGCACATTCACCACCACGTCCACGAGACGATCCAGCCCATCGTCCAGAAGGGTAAGTTCCACAACTCTCATACTATTGAGCCAATCACTAATAAACATTATAGAGGTCATTCAGCCTGAGGTCGTTCACACCACTGTTCCCATTCACGAGGTCCACCACAACGCTGCTCAGCACCACACTACCTCTGCCCTTCCCGCAGTCAGCTTGGCCGACTTCAAGAAGCAGGGTGGTGTTCTGACCGGCCGTGAGGAGCGCTACGATGGCTTCGAGGGCGAGCCTCGCTCAGTCGGTGGCGCCCTGAGTGGTCACCACCACATCCCTGGTGACAAGGGCAACGGCCATCACGGTCACCACGGCCTTGGTGCTGCTGCTGGCGCCGGTGCTATTGGTGCTGGTGCCGCTGGCACTCACGGCCTGAAGACCCGCAACCGCAGTGGCTCGTCCAGCTCTTCCTCCATTAGCTCTTCGGACGGTGAGGGTGGACGCATCCGCCGCAAGCGTGGTACGCGCACTCATGGTGCCACTGGTACCACTCATGGTGCCAAGCCCTCCATGATGGAGAAGCTCAACCCCCGTGTTGATGCTGATGGCGATGGCAAGGCCGGCTTCATGAAATAAGCGTTTCGTCGTTTACCCACGAGTTTAGTGTCTTTCCTTTGTTTGTCATAGCGGCTTGCATGCCAAGCTGTTTTGTTTATGCTTAACGATGCGATGCACGATAACCTCTTAGCCTGTACTATACTCAACCTAGTAATCAACGAGAACGTTCGATTCTGCTATTTTTACTGTGCAATGCCTATACTCAATAGTGTCCGCAACATGTGACTTGTCATTCCTATAAAGTTAAATAAATAATGGTGCAATATTTTGCAAAACATTTGCAACTCCTGGAAGCTCTTTTCTTATATTTTCTCTAGAGCATACCATAGCCACCATGTAGTGTCCGTCACATCTACATGTCTATTTCCGCCCTGATTTTTCTTCTCCTTTTCCGTACGCTTCCGCAGCTCTTACGTCATGACGGGCAAACCGAGTCGGCTGACATGCGGAGTCTCCGACCGGTACTCTAGACGGGTAGCGTGCCGCGGACAAGCTCACGCTAGTCAAATAGCGAAGCGTGCGTTTTAGGGTACCGTAGTTTGGCTAAGCTTAGGGGGCGCGCCAGGGCGCGCTCGTGGTGCCGAGAGCCGGGCGCGGCCCGTCGGATGGGGATCCGTGATGATGAGGGTGGTGGTGGTGGGAGCTGTGGCTGTGCGACGGGAGAGAGCCAACTACGTGGAGTACTGCTTCTACGCGCGGCTGGCGAGGGTGGATGTTTATTGTTTTGGGATAGTGGAGATATGCGGAAAGGTAAAGTTGAAACTATATACTCACCCACTTACCACTACTACGTACCTACTGCTTTTGTTTCGTCGATCTTGGTCGCGTGTTCTTGTTTCTTGGCTCTATCGTCATTCCTGCAGTCTTCTTTCGCTGTTTGTCTTTGGCTATCTCTCCTTCCCAGCCGAGGAAAGCTCGTGACCACGTCCGCGGATGCAAGTGGCGCGCAGACTGGTTCGTTCTCTGGAAACGGGAAAAGGGCGTCTGGTGTTGTTGGGGCTAAGCTTCGGGCGTGTCGCACAAGGCCTGCTGTGCGATGGATGTTGTGGCACCTGTGCATGCGAGGGCGTGTGGCGCCGGCGTACATACCTAGCGAGGTGGTGCGTGATTGATGCGCTGGTGGCGTGTCGTACAAGCGTTGAGTGTGCGTGAGGATGGCGTGCTTTTGTCTGGTGCATTGGCTGTCGTCTCAGACGGTTTGGCGGGCAGGTGTACGAGTGGCAGGGGATAGAAGGAGGGGGCGAGGAGAAGGAGACGGAATGTAGTGTTTTGTTGTTTGTATGAGCACGGAATGGTTTTGTGTAGGAATGGGAAAAGAGACATTATGCCGTTAAGGGTAAGTTCTAGGTACGTATGTAGATTTTACTTGATTAAGTGTTTTGCGAAGTTCGATATCAGCGTTGGGTAAGTGTTGTCTGCGGCTGTTTTGTTAATTGTTTGTTTATTGCTAGTTTTCTAACCAGCGTTGACAGATCGCAAGGCACGACGCTGTTGTGTAGATCAGATCAGAAGTGTAAGTGTACATTCTCGGATTGAACGCGATTATGGGTTATACTCTGTTTCTTTTCATTGAGTATATCAGCTTGCCTAGGCCCTTGAAGAAAAAGTACCTTTTCTTCACTGAAAGATTAAAATACTTATGAATGGAAATCGTCCGCCGCTATAATAGTAGACAGTTTACGTGCCCCTGAAGCAACATTTACTAATTATCTATATTCTACTACAGTGGGTGCATGGGAATGTCCTTTCCTATTCCGTTATACCTTAAGCCTACACCGAGGTTTGTATGGTTAGACGATCAGTGTTTGATTCAGTTTATTCTCCCTTCCTTATAACGGAGGGAATATATCGCTGCAGTAGCCATCCTAGACCTAAATTACTAGCAAACAGAAACACTGCTTTTTTCCTCTTCCACCGCTTTGCAAGGATCGAGAGAGAAGAGAAATCCACCTTTACTGGTAAACCCTACACCTTGGTCCCTTCAATTCACCGAAAATTCTTCAGAATGCCTGCTACAAAACACAAACCGACTTCAGGCGAAAAGTTCCCCTGAAACGAGCACTACCCTCTCGAAATGATGGCGTGCTTTATCGAACTAGAAAGATGATGCGGTCGAGTATAGCGAAATGCTGAACGACATCAGCTGCCCCTAAATAAGTACGGGCCGTCATTGCAGGATGATCCAAAGGCCCTGTTGCAGTTTTCACGGTGTTCAGTCACCACAGGACCGTTATGAGATCCCCAAAAGGTTCCGCTTTTCTCTCTGACCTAGATGGTGTCTGAAACAGAAAGAAAGAAATCAATAAAAGAAACAAAGGCATTTATTTAAATAACATGCAGCGTTCTATTAACGATAGCTAGCCAACCCAGCTGTCTTTACTATCACAGCCCGGAGCTCTCTCTCTCGTTCAACATACCATCATCTAACCTAACCTCTAACAACCACCGCATCCCCCGCCACCCTCTTCTGACAAAGCGAACTATATAGCGCTAAGAAGCTTACCGAAACCAGCACTACTACCAGCTCTAAACCGACCAAGGCGTATCAAATAGCTAATCCCCAGGAAAAAAGAAAGAAGTTCATCATCAAGAGCCTCCCAGAGCTGTCTAAGCCACTGCGTATTCTAAGAGCGAAGTATATTAAAATAAAGGATAGAAGGCTTCCAAAACATCTTAAACCCGCCACAGGTGACAGTATACGGGGAAGACCTGTCTTGACTTTAAGCGGAATAGCCTAGCCTTATAGTTCTGTCAGGCGCCGGATAGGTTGCCTATACTCTATACATACTCTCACACTTTTAAATCACGCCGTAAAGTAAGCTCGTCAATCCACGGAGTAAGTACTCTTTCGGAGGCTATATGCAGCTTCGACTCTGTACCTAGGTGGTGATGGGGCAGCTACGTTGAGCGCTTGAAGCGAGAGAAGGCAGGAAATTATGTACATACAACGATAAAGTTTACAAGAATTCGCGAGCACTTTTTATTTTTTCAAATGCACGACAGTCTAGCGATACGAGAGTGCAAGGGCACCACACGCTCGTACAAAGGCACTAAAGTACGAGAATGCGGGAGTAGTTCTAGAAGGTACGAAGACGCGACTTAAAAGGGCAAAAAGTAAGTAAGTCACATACAAATACCTTTGCGGGCATTTACTATCCACAAACCTAGACTCCGCCTTCTCTCCATCATCCCCTGCACCACTGTCTGTGCAATATAGCAGGCAGCGGCACTGTCGATGTTTCTTTAGTATTAGTAGGTATTAGTTTCGTGGATACCAACTACTTGGCCCTCGTCCTCGCAGTCCGTCCTGTATTGTAATCGTGTTATAAACTCCAGCACCACGCACTCGCATTTTATACAGCACAGCAATCTCGCACCCGGTTCGGGGCCGCCCGCGTACACCACAAGCGGAAGGCGATGTTGGCGGCAGATGCAGCTACTGGAAGACGTCAGATGCAGTCTAAGCAGGCCAAACCAGTAGAAACGAGATCTGGCTTTGTGTTCGAACGTCCTCTTTGGTGTCAATGCAGCCTTCAGGCGCAACGGTAGGTGTGCGATTGGGGTCGCTGCGGCCGGGAGTAAAGGACAAAGGTGCGGAGGAAGGCAGAGGCGAAGACGAAGGCGACGGCGATGTCGGCGGCACGGACATTGAACTGTTGCTTACAGAGAGCCTTTGAGCACCGATAAAGAACTGCCTTCCTCGCTGAGATTGTATGCCCAACCCGCGAGGGGATGCTGTGGTATACGAGAATCTCGAAGTGGAAAATCTATGTGTGCAGGTACGGGCGTATAGCCAGTAAGAAATGAGCAGGTTACACTTTCCTACGACCTACAAAATCAACTCTGCTGAGCAATCAAGGACGAACGCCCCAGGTCCTTTACGCGGGACATTGGTTAAAAAGTGGCAACGAGTCGGGCGCAATCGATGGTATGTCCGGGCGAGTTGACAGCGCATTTGTATTCCTCAACTCATAGCGGCGGCTGCTCGTCGAGAAGGTGGAACTATCGTTGCTATGGCTCGGGGTCGGTGGTAGGTGGCTCAGCTTCCGGTTTGTTCAGACGGCGATTCGAGGTGTACAGGTGTGCCCTTGAGCCAGTTGGTAGGAGGCCCCATGGAGACCTGCAATCGGAAAAAGGGCAGGTCTGGTTTCTCTGGTTTGCTTCTCCGCGGACGCTCTAGACTTCGAGATAGCCAACGACTGCCGACACGAGCTTTGTCAGAGAAAATTTCCTTGCCTTCGTATATTTTGTAATGCCTCCGATAGATAGTGTAGTTAGCAGGCTCCAATGAGCTGCCGGAAGGGGACACCACACCTCTATGCACGATAACGCAAGGTGGGAGAGCAGAGCGCCTTCTAGAAGCCGCATATGTTTCTCTGGCATCGGGAGGCTGGACTCGGGCGTAACCGGCGGCGGTTTGCGACGTGGCGAAGCAGGTCGAATGCACACAGCTCAAAGCGGGCGTTCATCTGGAGACGTCTTTCGACTCATCAGCGAGTCCACAAGTCTCTAGACAGACAGGCATGTCAGTGAGTGCGCGACAGGCCCCACAAAAGCACTGTCGTTGATATCACATTCATATAGTTAGCAGTTTTTTCAACCAGACAGTGAAATCTTGCGCCTCCCCTGCAGCGGCTATCTTGTTGGGACCAGGATGGCCGCTGTTTCGCGTGCGACGCCGACAGGCCACATGGGACTGGGCTCCGCTCGGCATGCTCCCGGGCCTGAAGCGGCTAGGCGCACCTGGCTACCCACCCACGCTGTCCAACAGTGAACGCATGCGCGAATTCCAACGTCGCGCGACAAGCAGCGATCACGGAGGGCCCAGCCCAGCCGAGCCCTCTCAGAGCAGATGCCCAGACGCAGACCTCACCTGTCACGCATACGGCGGATGCTGGTGGTGGCGAGAACGGATCAGTCGGGACACAGAAAGGGGAAGACGAGTGAAGGATTGGGGGACGGACGGGTTGTCGCCGGTGTGTGGTGGCTTCGAGGTAAGCGTGTGTGTTGCCCGCGACGACGTCTCCCCCGCCTGCCATACAAGGAAAGGCCCCCCTTCAACGTCATTCGAAGCTAGATGCGTTATCCGCAGTGGGGACAGTGGAGTCTGTCACGATGCGAACTGCGAGCGGTGACAACGACGCCGATGAAGGTGACACAAACGATGGGACCTTTGTCCCAGGCTGCAGGGTCTTGCCCTCCCCTGGGCGTAGAGGACCCAAGACCGAGTTGGCGGCGTAGCAGCAAGTGGCAGCGGAGGGGAGGTGTGGCAGGAGTGAAGCGAAATAGATTAATGGAACATGCACGGCAGGGAAGTCGGCAGGGGCCGAGGGTGGCGGCTTCCCAATTGGTGGATTAACTCGGCCTCGGCAACGCACAGAGGAAAACAAGCACAACAATGCGGAGAAGACGATCCACTTGGCGCTGGGGCCCCGGATTGAGGATCCCACTCAAGCTCATCCGTGACCATTTACCCCAGACCCCCGCTCCCGTCATTGGTGGCTCTGCCGTCGCCGCGCCCCCAGCCCATGCAGCCACCCCCGGCATATCTCGTGCAGCTCGGTGGGAAGATAAGCTTGCCACTCCGGGTATATAGACATGGTGACATCTTTTCTTTTCTTTTCTCTCTCCAACGTCTCCCTTTGTGAAGGCGCTCGCTGTTGCTATTTGTTGTTGTCCTCGCTCTACCGATCCTCCCTCTCTGACCTGGTGGACGACTCCCTTCTCTCTACCCATCTCCCATTTTCCTTGAGACGGCTCCGTCTCCCAATCTTCTCTCACCATGGCAATCATGACGGGGAAGAGAGCGTACAACTGGTGAGCTTCAATTCTGCTCTCTCAATCCCCCATTGAACCAAGCATTGACACGTCTCCTCCCCCAGGTACATCTCTCTCGTCGCAGCATCTTGCATGGTGCTTTACGGCTACGATGCCTCGGTTTACAACGCCGTCCTCGGCTCCGACAATTGGATGGCCTGGTTCAATGAGCCGGTACGACGTCTCCAATCAAGACCACGCCAACATCTTCTAACAGTTCAACGCAGGGCACGCAAACCCAAGGTGCTATCAACACGGCCTACACCGTCGGTGCCGTCGTCGCTGGTTTCTTCTTCGGTGGCCCGCTAGCCGACTTCTTCGGCCGCCGTATCGGCATGGCAGCTGGCTGTGCCTTTGTCATCGTCGCGACTTTCATCCAGGCTTTCGCGCCCAGGGGCAACATTGGCGCCTTCATCGGCGGCCGCGTGCTCATTGGTATCGGCCAAGGTCTCGCACTGAGTACGTACCCAGCCTCGTGCCACCCCATCACGAGAACGAAACACTGACACGCATTGCAGCGGCCGGCCCCATCTACATCGGCGAGCTCTGCCCCTCGGAGATCCGGGGTAAAATCATGTCGTTCTGGCAAATGTTCTACTCGGTCGGCTCCTTCCTCGCGTACTGGGTCAACTACGGATGCCAGGAGCACAAGGAGAAGCTCGGGCACTGGGACTGGCGCATGGTGGTGCTCTTCCAGGTGCTGATGCCGATTCTGATCCTCGTGCAGCTGTGGTTCATCCCCGAGACGCCGCGGTGGTACATCCAGAAGGGCAAGCCGACGGAAAAGGCGCGGGCATCGCTGCTACGGGTGCGCGACACGGAGCAGGAGGTCGAGGACGAGATACTGGTGATCCGCGAGGCGCTCGAGTTCGAAAAGGAGTCGATCTCGTCGGGGTACGCGGCGCTGTGGAAGGACCCGTCGATCCGCAAGCGGCTGCTGCTGGCGTTCGTCATCAACGCCGGGCAGCAGATCACGGGCCAGGGCACGCTCAACACGTACTCGACGCTCGTGTACAAGAAGGTGTTTGGCAAGGACTCGCCGCAGATTGCCCTCATCAACGCCCTCAACGCCACCTTTGGCATCCTCTTCACCATGAACGCCACCTGGACCGTCGACCGCTTCGGCCGCAAGTTCCTGCTCATCGTCGGCGCCATCGGCATGGCGCTGTGCATGGTCATTGTCGCGACCGTCGAGACGCAGACGCCCACGTACGCGGACGACACCAAGTCGCACGGCGTGGGCATCTCCATTGTCTTCCTCATGTTCCTATTCGCCTTTTTCTGTAAGCAAACCCCCACAACCCAACCCAAACCAAACCAAACCAAGTCCACCCCACTAACACCTCGCAGACAAACCCTCCTGGGGCGCCACAGTCTGGATCTGGACATCCGAAGTCTTCAGCATGAACGTGCGCGCACAAGCCGTAGGCATGGCCTCGCAGACGCAAAACGTCGCCAACGCCATCGTGCAGCAGTTCTTCCCGACATTCCTCGACAACTGCGGCTTCTACGCCTTCTACATGTTCGCGGGCATCAACGCGCTGCTAGGCGTCTTTGTGTGGTTCTGCATCCCCGAGACCAAGAAGGTCTCGCTCGAGGAGATTGACGTCCTGTTCGGCGGGTCTAACCACGTCGAGAAGGGCGCGAACCTTGTTGATCCTGACCACGCCCAGCATGTCCATGTTGATGCTGAGGGCAAGGGCGTTGCCGAGGGCGTCGAGCGTGTCGTGCCTGATGGTGGGGAGGTGAGGAGAGACCAGCCGTCGGGCAGGTTTGCTTAGGCTTGCTTGGGCTTGTTGCTGTGCGAAGGGTGTTGCTTGCTTGAGAGAGAGAACGGGTTATGCGCCATGTGCTTACGGAGTCATGATACCAACTAAACTTGTTTATATGCCTTTGCAGGCAGAAAATAATAGAGCCGGGATATATGGCTTTTTCGCACGTCTGGTTGCTTCATTGCTTGGTTACTTACTTGCTCGGTTAGTTGCGCTGGTTTTTGTTTGGGACTTGATACTGCTTGATCAATCAGTATAAGAGTCGTCCTGGCACACACAACAAACGTAACTTTTCATCTAGACAGGCGTTCATCTAATCACAGGAGCAAACACCCTTTAGGTACGTATGTAGGACAAGTCAGCCATAGCTACCGTGCAGCACTAAAAATATTTGAACCTACAACAAACTTCAATGGACAACTGGACCGCCACCGATCCAACACAAAGCGAAGAAACCCACAACACACAAAGCCGACTTTAACTACGATAATGGCCAGCGATGCCCATACAGTACCTACACAAACCATCCCCGATTTCGGCTTAGATCCAATTATCCCTTGTACTACCTTGCCTACCTCTTGTATTTAAAATCCCTAGCCAGTCCTAACGGGCCGTCTGTCATAGTTTTAAAACTGCATATAGACGTAAAACGAATCAATCAATCAAACCATCCCCGTTAGCCTCACCAACCTCACCAAGCATAACACAACTACATCAAATGAAAGTCATCTTTTCATAGCTGTGCAGAAGACATGACTAGATTATCTAAACCTCGTGTTTGCTTTGGGTATCTATTCGTCTTTCTCGTGATCTCTACTCAGCAGCATCTATGCTATATTTACATGCCAAGTCAAGCCATACCACGCTATGCCATCAAGCCACACCACGCTTGCTAAGCGTGTCGTATGTACCATGCTCTTGCGTCAATCATTTAAATATGCCATCCTTTCCTCTTCCCCCACCCTTCTCCCCCTCCCATAACAAAACAACAAAAATCCAAAAAGGAAGGGGAGCGGGGTCGGGGATCTAGTCAAAACCGCAAATCTAAAAGTCCTTCCGCGCATGCTTGCTCATCTTGCGCAGGCGCTCGCCATAGAACCACAGCGCAAAGGGAATAGGGATGAACGCGACGGCGAGGAAGCCGAGGAGACTGCTGGCCCAGCCGACGCCGAGCTGGGAGTGGAACAAGTCAGTATATACATTCATGCAGGCCCTTTTTGTGTGATAGAGGCCACAAAGAGGGGTCAAACTGGGCAAGAAAACCTACAGTCTTGTACATAGCGGTCGCGAACAGCGGGAAGCCCGCGCCAAACGCCGAGCGCATAAAGTCGTTGCCGGCCAGCACCGAAGCAGCGTGGTCCGGGTACGCGTCCGCGAGGTAGTTGAGCACCGAGTTGAAGAGCAGCACCGTGCCGACGGCGAACCACGCCGAGCCGACGATGGGCACGATCCAGTGCGTGCGGCCCGCGCTCCACCCGAACCAGAACAGGCAGATGGGGATGAAGAAGGCGCCGACGCACGCGGCGGGCAGGCGCTTCTCCGGCTGGATCTCGCCGTTTTCGTTGAACTGTTTTTCTTGGATGAAGTAGAGGTAGGCGAAAAATGGTGGTAGGACTAGAATCGCCCCGATTAGGATGCCCAGGAAGCTGAGCCCTTCTTCCCCGAGGTTGAAATGGTAGATTTCAACGAATACAATAAAAAAGCTCTCTATCCAGCAATATAAGAGGGCGTAGACAAGTCCAATATATAGGTTTAATATAAAAACCATGGGCTCTGTGAAGTTGAGTGTTAAGGGACGGACCAGTGACATCATGATGACATCCTTGCCCGACATGTTTTCAGCCATAATCTCGGGCTCACACTTCAAGCGCTCGTCGCCCGTGAGCTTGCGCAGGCGGCGGGTACGGCGGTACAGGATGTTAGCGGAGCTGGTCTCGGGCAGGAAAAAGACCAAGAACACGAGGCAGAAGCCCGAGAGCCACATGAGCTCCCAGATGGTCCAGGTCCAGTCTTCTGCCTGCGCGGCGAAGCCGCCCACAAGCGGGCCCATGGTCGGGCCGCACACGGCGGAAATACCCCAGATCGCCATGCCGTAGGCCCGCTTGCTCGGCTTGTACATGTCGCCGATGCTAGCGCCGCCGGTGGCGAGCGCCGGCGACCCGAAGAAGCCCGTCAGGAAGCGGAATGCGAGCAGCATGCCGAAGTTGACCGAGAGGGCGGTCGGCACTTGAAAGATGACGAAGATGATTAGCGTGCCGATGTAGACGGGGTTGCGGCCGATCATGGGGATCTCGGACATTGGTGACCAGATCATCTGGGTTGCGTTGTCAGTGTGATGTTGTGACCTGGCGGTGTGGATGTCGGGTGCTTACTGGTCCTATGCCGTAGCCTGCCACGAACAGTGTCAGGCCCAGAGTGGCTGCGACTTGACTGACGCCGAATGTTTTCTCCACCGACATCTCGCCGGCGCTGTAGATGGCTGATCCGATGTAGATGCTGAACGTGAGGAGACATATCTCAAACGTGACGAAGAATTTCTTGGGCAACGACCAGTTTTGCGGGTTCTGTTGAAGTCGTTAGCAAGCTGTGATGGAGGCTGAATTGAAGTGCGATTGTCTACGAAGCTGCAAAAAGAAAAGACAATGTAGCTGACTAAACCTGCTAGCGTCGACGGACTGCTAACATATCCAGCAAGAGGACGGATCAATTGAGCCGTTGAACACCGGGATTCACCTACCTCGGGGTCATTGGGTCCCCACCACGAAACGACGTGTATGTCTCGTCCCTTTTCAGGGTCGATCCTCACGCCGCTGGCCTCGTTGTACTGGTACCCATCGTCCGGGACGCGGGTTCTCGATGAAGCGTCCGATTGCCTCTCGTCTCTTGACTTGGTTCGCAGGGGCTCGTCGTCCGAGTCTTCGCCGGGTGGACCAGCGTGGCTGTGGTGTGCAACGTTCCCCGACTTTTCGACGTCAATGTAGCGTCTCAACAGTGACGGATCCTTCTCTTCCTCGTACTGCAGATATTTGTTATGTGTGACTAAACGGACAAGGTGACCGAATACGGTATCTCGAATGAGCTCTGTCATGGCTGGCGGGGGGCGTGGAGAGCAATGAATGTCGAGTGCAAAGAGAGCAACAGGATACGAGACATGTTAAGAGCAGGAGAAGCTTGATTCATTTTGTTTTGATCGGATTTCGGAGGCTAGAAGACATCCCCGCGATGGTGTCTATGACGCTCATGAGGTCTGATATCATCGGCCTGCAAGATCTTCGGCCCTGACGCGCGCGAGCCTCAACGCGCCGATCGGTCGCGACTCACGGAGCTGTGCGCGCAGACACGTCCGGGCTTGCGGCCATCTTTTCCAGAAGCCATGGACGAGTTTAAATTGACGTTCCGACGACAGCGACGATAGCGACGCTAGCCGCAGGCGCAACCAAACCGATGTCTCTCCCGCCATTGGCCGCGACTAGTCGACGCTGCCGTCAGGGACCCGATGCGGCTCTCTCTTGCCGTCATCACGCGGTCGACTCACTGCCTGAAGTCGCGTGCATGTCGCGATAGCACAAGAGAGCACCTGCCCGCCAATTCTGATTACTGTGTTGTCTGTGGCGTTGCGATTCTCTTTGACGTGTTTAGTCAGTAGGTCATTCACTATGGTTTATCCATCAAGGTACCTCACCGCAAACCGCCCATATCAACCACAGGCGGCTTTCATTCTTTGCTCATTCATTCCTCACGATACCCCTTTGCTGCTTGCTCTGCCCAGACCCCAAAATGTCTACCACCACAACAGCCTTAGAACAGTCATCTCTCACGTGGAATGACCTGCCTTCCGAAGTCATACTCGACACCATTGCCAGCATTGACTTCGATTGCGAGACTCTAAGGAACCTCATGCTAGTGAACAAACGCACATACAACATCGTCACCACCTACGAATCCTCTCTATGCGCCGGATTCGCCAAGAACCAGCTCCGTTCCACGATACCCCGGTTCCCGGACATCATTCGGCCAGGCAGCCGGTATTGTACGTTTTAATATCCCGGGGATTACCTACTGCTCGCATATTCGGGTCTATTGGGGTACTAACGTAACACAGATACCCGAAAGTATGGGTTCGAGATGCTCGCCCAGATCCACCACCGCTCAAAAACAGCCTCGGAGCTGTACCGACGCGTGATTGAAAACGACGGCTGCTGGGTCGACGGCTGGTACAAGCTCTTCGAGAGCGGGATACTGCTGCTCTTCCGGCTGCAAGAACACGGTGCGTTACACATTGCACGTCGGCAGCAGCTGTTGCGCAACAGGATTTGCTGACAGGCCTGTCCCAGTGACGCACAATGCCAAAATCAACTTCATCTACTCGCTGCCGCCCAATTCGCTCGCGGCTCTCTTCATCGCCATCACGCAGAGCCTCAAGGCGTGCGAAAACGCCGGCGGCGGCATGATCCACCGCGACCGGCAGCCGGCCGACCCCCTCGACCGCAGCATGCTGCACCTCGTCTTCGAGGACCTGGTGCTGCAGCGCGGCCCGCAGTTTGTCCTGTAAGCCACGCCTCCCCGCACCCGGTCCGACGACACCAGACCCCCTACCTCTCCTTTCCCTCTCCCTCCGCTTGCACACGCCAACCAGCACACACATACACACATACACACACACACACACAAACGTAGCTGACCGCGTCCTCTCCCCCTGCACAGAGATACCCTCACGCACGCCCCACCCGCGTCAGCGCTCCTCCGCCACCTCTACGCCAACCTCGACGCCGTTCAGCGTCCCGACGCGCTCGGCAACCCTCCGCTGAAGAGCCTCGTCTCGCAGCTGCGCACCGCGCTGGCGAACCAGACCGGCTGCGCCATCAACGGCTGCCTCGCTACCGTGCTGTGCATGGCGAGTGCGCGCCCGCTGGCCGACCTCGACGAAAACGGCTTGCTGGATGTGGTGTGCGGGCCTGAGCGTATTCGGTGGTATGATGATGATGATGATGATGATGATGATGATGATGATGATGATGATGATGATGATGGGGAGGAGGATGGGGATGGGGGAGACGGCGATGAGGGGGCGTGGGGCGGTTGGAGGGCGGGCATGGCTGGGAGGGGTGACGAGGGCGTGGGCGAGCCGTAGCTGTGGCTGTGGCTGTTGTTGTTGCTGTTGGTGTGCGTTGGTGGGGATGCTGCGTTTGGCGAGGCGTTTGTTGGCGTTGCCTGCTCCCCGTGAGTAGGATGGACGGATGGATGGATGGATGGATGGATGGTTGGTTGGTTGGTTGATTGGTTGGTGAGAAGGCAGGAGGGAGGGGCGGAGGCCGAAGGCCGGAGGTCGGAGGCTGGAGGATGGAGGCGGTGCTACTACCCTTACCTACTACTGCTTGCTTGCTTACTTACTTAACTGTTGCATGAACGGTTGGACAGTTCCCTGATCTGCGTATACACGCACGCACGCACGTGGCAACGGCGTGGGCTTCGACATGGGCGTGGGCATGGGCTTGGGCTGAAGCATGGCACTGCACAGCATAGCACGGCATGGCGCAGCGCAGCACGACATACATGCATGCGCGTGGCAGGACAGAGAAGCACACAGCCCTCTTGCGCAGGTACAGTCCCTACCTATCTACCTGCCTACCTACCTACCTTACTTAGTTTCGTCGGCATGGCCTGGTGCGGTGCGGTGCGGTGCTACATACGGTGGCACGGTATGCAGAGGCGTGGCTGAGGGCTCGGGTTGGGGGTGGCTTCTGCAGGTACGTTACGCTGCTGCTGCTGCTGCTGTGCGCCCGTTGTTGTACGCCCGTTGCTGTGCGTGCGTCAGTGCGTGCGTTTTGTGCTTTGTGTACCCTGGGTGCTGTACGACTGACTTGCTTTCGGATTGCTGTGCTGAGGGCCTGGTGGAGATTTTAGGATTGTGGTTGTGTTTGTGTTGCCGCTTCTTGCTTTGTGCTTGTGCTTGTGCTTGTGCTGGTGCTGGTGGTGGTGAGGTGGTGAGGCGTGGAGGTTGGGTTGGGGGTGTCTTGGTTGGGTGGTGTTGTGGTAAGGACTCGGTGGGCGGATGGGGAGGAATAAGGTGTGTGTTTGGGTTTGTTGAAGTGGTATCTACGGGGGCTGGTGGTGGTGTTGGGGGAGTTGTGTGGGACGTGTACGTAGTGGGTATGAGTGTGCAGTGTCAGGGGTATTCCTGGTGTTGAGGACGTCTGATTGCATTTGATGTTGCTGTTAGTCTTTATGCAACAGTTAATTTATTTGAAGCAATATGCTATGTTTCAGTTTTTGTCTTTTCCCCAGCGATTCGAGTTCAATTTTCCCCTCTAGTTTGGCTGTCGGTGAATCAGACACTGATGAAGAACTGCAAAATACTTTGATGTTTCTATATTTTGAGAGATGGGCCTTGTTATTCATACATTGGAGAATCGCACAAATGCAATTTCTCTGCTGTAGTTGGGTATATGGATTGATATGGGGCAAACATTTGATTACTTTCTCCATTTTGTAATTCACTCTTTTCGAGGTCGGAGTTCTAATACATCATGGCAGTTGTGAAAGCGATTTACATGAGCAACATTCTATGGAGTCGTTTGCAAAGATATTGAGTTGGCTATAGGTGTGGTGTTGATTTTTATCGTTTTATTCTAGCACCATGCAGACCCGCAGCAAACTCCGGTTGTCAATTCCAGAAAAATCCATCCAACCCATCCCGTAACAAACCCGCTACCAACACAAAATGACCACCTTACCCTCACACGATATCTATTTCCAACACCACTCGAAGCTTATCAGATCGTCATAAGCTGGCCGTCCTCAATATAAGCAGGCGAAGATCCTATGATCCGCGCTCGCTACCGCCCATGCCACCGATCAACCAAGCTAGCGCAGCGGAGAATAAATCGGGAAAAGCGGACGGACTCGCGAGGATTCACAGGCAAATAGTAAGCAACAATCATCCGCTCATCAGCGCCGGGATCAAGGCCTACGCGATCACCGTCACATGCATCTCGCACCTCACTCAGCGGCTTCCTTGGCCCCCTCGCAACAAAGTCAAACTCATCCACGGCGAGCGCCATTGCCATCGCTTCATCGCCAACGCGGACGGCTTGGTGATGCTACCGATGTGCCGCCCGACCGCTTCTTGCCTCACATCAGCCCAGGATAGTCGCGAGAGGTGACTCGTGCGATACGTCGTTCTATTGCGTGCTCCTTCAGCCACGCTGACGGTATGCATGGCCGAGCGCGCCAAGGACGATACCAGCGCGTCATAAACCTTAACTAAGAGGGCGCCAACGGCGAGGCGAGCGCGCCGAGTCTGGCTTCAAGGCTTCTCAGGCGCGGCCTTGGTAAGACGTCCATCGTGTGGCGCGCAAGGCCGATCTTCGGGCATCTAGGTAGTGAGCATCTGGAATTGGCGACTTGCGAGCGAGCACATGGCCTTGCGGAAGCCCCGAGGTAAGCAAGCAGCTCGAGGCAGTTCGATGCTTCTCTTGCCACTGCAGACCACTCCACTGACTCTCAGCGTGGCTGTTGCGTTGGCCATGACAGACATTGCAAGCTGCGTGGCCGAGAACATGACCGCTTGTGGAGCTGCTGGCTATGTAGGCTGCAGCGCGTGAAGAGAGCCAGAATCTCCCGGATTCCTGCAGCAGAGGCTTCGCTCCAAAAAAGAAACTATTGTCTGCATGCAAGTCATGAGTGCGCATGCGTGAAAAGCGACTAGGCGCACGATGCAGTCTTGAATTCAAGAGAGAGAAAAGAAGAGGCATGGATCGCAAGCACAGAAAGCATACTTACAGACCAGACCACCACGACAGACTCACCGCTCCATCGGACCTACGGACATTTAAAATCCAATATCCACATTGCCCGAAGCGGCCCTGTCTCCGTGGCCGCGTAAGCAGCCACGGCCAGCGCGCAAATCACCCCATGGCCGCCCATTCGTCCCCGAGCGAGCAGCAGCCATGTCAGCCTTACCCGCCCGAGCTCGCGCAACACCACCCGCATGTCTTGGCCCCCGCCGCTCGGAAAGTTGACACACGCCCTTGTTTGCGCGGAGACGGCCCAAAAGAGCGCCGTCTCCGCCTATGTCTTGCTGCGGCCCCGATCCTCTGGCCTGGTATACATGTTACATCTATATGACCAGAACTGCGGCGCGTAGGGCACGCAGATCATCAATTATCGTCGCCGAGGGTCGCAATCTACGTACCCGTAGCGCTGGATCCGCAATCCGAGACACGCAGAGTCGAGCTCGAGCTCTGCTTCGGCTGCCTGAGGCCGCGCGTTTGCACACGAGGGCTTTGCCTGAGTCTGCGTGAACGCTTTCAGGACTTCCGCCGTTTTCGGTGCCATTGTGTACGTGCAGGCGAAGGCACTGCGCCGCAGAAGCAGCTACAAACCTGTAGCTGGCTGGGCCGAGTGTCGGCGTGCTCGCTCTGCGCCCGACTTCCGTTGCCACCACCCCTGGGCGCACCTCTGCTTGCGCTCTCTAGGTGGCTCTCAGCTATCGTCGGCGCGGCCGTGCTTCTAGCCGCTTCCCTGTGCTGCTAGGCAGCGGCCGCTGGGCGCTTGACCGCTCTGCCATGTGATGCCCTTGCTGGCAGGCATCGACAGCTGTCATGCCGTTCAGCTGGAACTTGCCCTGCTGGCATTTTATGCTGCAGTGGCCCGACTAAGGTAGGGATATGCCTGGGATTGTGCTGGAAGGGTTGCAGGCCCTCCAGCATCTCAATGGCTAGTCTTGGGAGATCTTCTGATCTCTTGATTCTGTCTCAAAAGGTTCTGTTGTCACCGGTGGTGACTGTGATCCGTAAGAACCCGTTGGTTCGCCAGCGTGGTGGCGGAAGGATATGAGTCGACGGCGCACTACCAGCGGTGAAGGTTCGGCCCAGTCTCGACTCTGAAGATGTGAAAGTTTCCCGTATGCAAGGCATTCACAAAAGCCCCCCCTGCTCTCCGATGAGTTCCCTCTCGGTGAACAGGTGGTCAAAGGCCGCACGATACGGGTCATCGTAAACTCATTGCCCGCACCAGCCACATACGAGCACGGCCATTTGCGATGGCAGCAGAGCCGCGCTGTCCGATGTAACCGCCCAGGGAAGGAATGGAGGATGACAAACGGGTACGAAGAATTTCCAAGCCACTCCAGGGACTCGCTTGGGGGCTCGCTTGCGACTCTCCCCGCAAACGCGCACCCTGGGCCTTTTGAGGCTCATCCGCACGCTCCACTTTAGGCAGCTTAGCAAGTGTCACCCGGTTTTTCCAGCAATCAGGGGTGGTTCCGCGTCGAGGAGGGTAGGGCTAGCCAGCGGTAATCCCGACGCCTCGGGATGGACGAGTTCGCGACTCCACCTCTTTACGGATTAGTTGTGAGCGCTTCCAGCACCGGTCAACCCTTTTCAAATCTACGCCTCTTCCTCGCGTTTTCCTCTTGCAGCGTCTCATTTACTGGCGATGCATACGAGCCCATGCCGAGCTAGCCACCACCCCTCCTGGAAGCCCACGAGAAGCACTCCCTGAAGCGGGCACGCCTGCATCCGCGGAAGTTGCTGCGGTGCTGTATGACTGGCCTCGTGCTCGCCGCATGCGCTGGCAGCGCACCGTAACCGGTTGTCTGGCTGGCTGAAGGGCTGGCTGACGGCCACGCTGCGCCGCCAGTCGCGATGCGCATCGTCATCGGCAGCGCCGTGAGCCAGAGCCAGAGCCCCGGGCCGCGCGCTCTGCACGCCACGACCGGGGCGCGCGCGCTGCCGGGTGAAACTTGCCCACTGGTGCTGGATGGCAAACGATGGCTAACGCGGCGTGCTGCTCTGGCCGGCGCGGAGAAGGACCTGTTCATACGCTGAGCTCCGCGACATCCCGAGCGCTTGCGGAACTTTGTCTGCGAGCGCATTTGTTGGTGTTGCAGCTTGTTGGGCTTGCGGGATGTTGTGTGCTGTTGACTGGCTAGGTTCCTGTGCGGCTGGTTGTCCCGCTCTTCGGGGAACTGTAGCACATGAGGTTGTCGCGAAGGCGGCGGAGGCGTTCGCGGCATGACAGGTCAGCGGAGTGTTGTTGTCGTACCGAGGCGGGCATACGTAGAGAAGAGGAGGGTCTGCAGAAGCGCCTTGTGGAAGTGGCAGCGATAGCGGAGGTGGAGTCGAGCAGTGGCGTGTCACTTACATGCGGCGGGGTTAGCTGACAATCACTGCGGAAGCAGGGGCCTGGAGAAGTTTCCTGTTTCGTGTATGTTTGCACCCTTTGCCCAGGTGGCTGGCTGACCATGGCCAACTCTACGCACCGGTCTACCCCCTCAGTGGCCGCTGCTGCGCCAAGAAGATTACCGACGCTTTCGAACAGGGTTATGCCTCCGGGCATGGAGAATCTCAAACACGATAGGGCTGATGAACAGTGGCGCACGCCTTTCTCGCTTACCCCTACCAGGCTTGGCCACTGTTAGGTAATGGCGAAAGAACGTATGCCGCATTAGGATGATCAAGGATATGCCAGTGTAAAATATCGCTTTGTTGAGCCTAGCTAATGTGCAGTATGCACGCAAAAACAACCTGGGATCTCCAGCTGCCATGGGAATCATAAAAGAGTGCAAGAAGAGAAAACGGAAACGAAATTTTGCCCAACGCATTATGCATTTCGTTATTCATGAACAGGGGTCAGAAAACGCACAAGAATCTAAGGATTAGATGAGTAGGTCGTGTTTGGTTTGCGGTTGCATAAAAACCTCCGCATGTGGCTGGAAACAATCGTATCGTAGTGGTGGTGGTGGTGGTGGTGGTGGCGTAAAACTCTCCTCGTATCGCTATCATTTTCCATCTCAAAATGGCTCAAACGAGACTTGCCAATCAATGACTGGCGTTTGCTGTAGGTCCGAATGTGCCCACAACTGCATACTGAAGTTGCAAACCTAAACACGAGGCTTATGTTTGTAGTGTCCACCTTTGCTCCTGCACGCAGATACAGACGCCGTTGGGGTGACTGTAGTAGTGTAGGTCCATCTGCAAAGTGTTAGCACATGTTTGTTGATTTAGTCACAGAATAAAACTTACGTCTGGTGCAAAGTCTTGGTAGTATAGACCGTGGTGTAGGCGTGCTTGGAGCGAGTTTTGGTGGGAGTGGGCGCGGTAATTGTGACCATTGTGATGCCAGAGTAGACCGTGTTTGGCGGAAGGGTGGTAGCTGTGGTTTCTGTTACCAGGACTTCCTCCGTCGTAGTGGAGGCAGGAGCAGTATGCGTGACCGTAAAGTTGGCAGGCGTAGGGTTAGTGACAGTGATTGTCTCGGAATCTGGAGCACGCTCTTGGAGTCTCCGCTCTTGGATACGCTCAGATGCAGACATGCCACGAAGACGGTGAGCATTTCCAAGCACACGGCGAGCCACGGAAGAGTCAACGCGTTTGTCACGTTTTCCAACTGCCTGCACGCCAGTCGGGGAAGCTTCACCGCTGATGGTTTGAACCGTGTAAACAGCAACCTTGTCGCGAATGGAGGGTTTAGGTGGAACGGTGCAAGTTGCAGTTGCGGTCTTAGTGACTGTAGTGAGTTCCTCGGTATAGGCACGGCGTGTCTTAGTGTAGAGCCCTGTGGTCCATATGGTGGTGGCTTTTGGCGTGATCGTCTTTGTCCGCTTGGCCGTTCCAGATGGTGAGGTGATGGTTTGTGTGTTAGGGATAGTTTCGGTGATATAGACGGTCGTGGGCGACGTGATAGTTTCTATGGGAGTTGAGGTGATGTCCCAAGTGATAGAGTTTGTGATGGTGGCCGTTACTTGTGGTCCCACGGTGAGATAGATATCACGCTGGTAGTCGAAAGGGTCGCTATCGGCATTGTTTCCTTGAATGAGAAGTAGCCAGTGCCCAGATTCCATTTCACTCTTCAGGATGGGGCAAGTCGACAGCTGCGGTACGTCATCCGGGGTGGTGGGTATCTGTGAACATATGTATGTATCGTTGGTTTCGGGCTCGACAAGTAATATGTTTGCATAGCCTCCGGAGCATCCATCAAATTGAGTGACGGCGGTGAAATTTTCGGACGATGCTTGATTGATGAAGTAGGAGCCTTCGTCCGAGAAATCAATGCCTCGAGAGCCACACGAGGAGGAGAAGGCAGGTTGAGCCAGTGCAGAAATTGCAACGAAGGCACCAAGTTTGGAAAGAAGACTCATGTTTGAAAGGCAATGGAACGACCGTCGTAAGCGATAGAAGATTGCAAGAGACGCTATAGTACGAAGAGTCACAGTGTACCGAGTGATGAGAGTTCTTATAAGATATCTTCACGGCGGCAGTGGTATCAAGAATAGGTCACAGCTCCGCAACATCCACCCGCAATGAAAACGGAAGAGGTCATGCTGGCGTACGTGTACAGACTGACACGAGGGAGTTCTCGGCCAAGGTAGCATCTGCTGACCGGCGTGGGCAGCTGCGGCTGTTGCCATGCTGCAGAGATTTCGTAGTGGCTGTTCAGGTTGTGAGGAGGATTGAGGTGAAGGTCAAGGCGTCAAGGGACGTTGGACGCGTCGGGGCGTGGACCAATGGCGCCGGACAAACCTAGGCTCCGACCCCACTCGGCGTCGGCGACTCCCCGTCCTTCCAACAACTTATTGTTTGCAGCCATTCTGTGTCGTCACGGCCATCGTTGCGCATTGCTGGTTGCGGATGATTTGATGGTGGAGAGAAATCCTGGAGCCTGCATCGCGTCAGCACGCTAGGCTTTCGCCGGGGTATTTCCACACCCGATGATGCATGTTTTCGTCTTCGCGCTCCCTGGCTTGCTTGCAGGCTGACACGACCCGGCCCCGGCTGGCCACGAGCTGTAAGAAAGCACATACATGTCATAAGCATAGCGCCACAAACATTATTTTGCACTCTTAATCATCGTCAGAGTATAAAATCCACAGGGCTATGCGGGACAGGGGGTTGGGCGGCTGGCATCGTATCAACCCTCCGCAAGTGGCGTTTTGCCCATGTACATCATCGAGTGCCAAGGCTTAATCCTCCGTATCCCTGGATCTGCACTGGCCTTGGCTTCCGGCCATCTCGGTTATGCGGGATGAAGTCTCACTTCTTCTCATCCACTCTCCACTGAAGCATTCTAAAACCAATTCGGGAGCCCAGGTGCGCTATTTTGTTCCTTGGTGAGTGGAGAAGAGCTCTGTACGTAGTACTCTCTTGACTGCCACTTAATTTGATATTGTCGAGTGCCACCGCATCGGGACGTTACCAGCCAGCCAGGAGTGAGGCGTTCTTTGGGACCAAAGTCGAGATCGACCTGTTGGGAATGTGGCTAATCAGCAACGATGAGAGTCGTTGACCGGAGAAAGCCTATGCCTTGACTCAATACTTCCATGCACACCTGCATCACCATCTGATGTAAGGCTTGGGGCAAGCTCTAAAGCCACAATTAACCAAACTTGACCGCGGCTCCAAACATGCACATGGTCATGCGAGTGGAGCTTTCCGTATCGTGGTAGCCAGGGCTTTCGCCCGATATACTAAAATAAGATTCAGGTAAGCCGCCTTATCACATTAGCTGATCTTCGCTGTCGGCAGATACAACAAATCTGGACTGTGCCTGTCACGCTGCCGGCAACCAGCTGGCGAAGCTGACGGCTAACTTCCCGTCCCCGAAGCGCCTCAATGCTTGGCCTTTTTGCCCCATGGAGTCCGTTTTGTGGCGTGGGAACAAATTTCCACCAACCTATCGTCCGCATCGTTGACTTGAGTTCGCCTAGAGACCATAGAACTCTGCCCTGTTGCCACCAACTGGGATCAAAGTCACATAGCATGCGACCATCACGAGCTCACATTGCCTTGTCGACCGTGTGATGCATCAGCAATCAATAATTATTTCCAACCATACGGGTCTCCATGTTGATAGACCCAGTATCTCCGAACCCGAGTATTCCGCTTTAGGGAATCAAGAACCTCGGTTGCGAGAAGACTAGAACTATGTAAAGGACATGTTCTCCCGGTATTCGATCAACCACCAGTTCACTTCTCTCGCTCATATCGTTTACATTGAAAGAGATCAGCTTCTTTGGTGTTGTCTTCCCTCATTCTTTCCAACTCTTCCTTACGTCCAAGATCAGAGTCCCAACTTTGAGCCTCTCGCTTCTTGTCACGGAAAATGATACTCTCTAAAAAGAGTGTCATCGCCTTTGTGGCTTTAGGCGCGCAAGCCTTGGGGGCTATCATCCCCGATGAAGCCTTGATTGCGCGAGCCACGACATCTCTTGCAAACGCTACTTCAGCTATTTCCACTGCGACTTCATCTAATGCGCCCTCATCCACTTCGACCTTGCCGCCTGCTGACGGAGATTGCGATAACGGCCCAAACACTCGACAGTGTTGGGAAGGCGACTACAGTCTTTCCGACGACTTTGATGAAAAGACGCCTCCTGCTGGAAATGTTGTCTCCTACAATTTGGTCCTGAGAGATTACACCTGCGAAGAAGTGGCGGCGATCTCACCTAGTGTTGGTGATGGCAGTACTGAGTGCACGAGCATGCAGCTTTTCAACGGACAGTATCCAGGTCCGGTTCTCAGAGGAAGTGAGTAAATGATTTTAATATTTTGAAACTCGAAATGAGTAGTTTCCACAGAGAGTACAGTCAGGTCACGGAAAGATCTAAATACTTTTCATTCAGTTGTCAAAAGAGCTTGGATCAAAAGACGTTTTCATAAAACTAGAGTACACTATTATTTGCAGACGGCATGCTAACCATTCAAAAGAATGGGGAGACACTTTCCAGATCACCGTCACGAACGAATTGGAAAGCAACGGGACTAGCATCCACTGGCACGGCATCCGGCAGCTGAACAACTGCCCACATGACGGTGTGAATGGTGTTACCGAGTGCCCTATTCCGCCTGGGCATTCTTATACGTATGTCTGGAAAGCTACCCAATATGGTGAGGAAAGACAAAGCCCCTATGCCATTGTCAGGAAACTGATCTGGACGTTCCAGGAAGCACATGGTACCACAGCCATCATAGTGCACAGTATGGCAATGGAGTTCTTGGATCCATTGTCATTGATGGCCCAGCAAGTGAAAACTACGATATCGATCTCGGCCCATTGCCCCTTACGGACCACTACAATGAAACAGCCTGGTACCTCAACTCGTATAATCTGCACAACCTTCCACCCTATCCGCCTGACAACATCCTTGTCAATGGCACTGCCGTAAACGAGCAGGGGGCCGGAAGGTACAATATTGTCAGCGTTCAGAAGAACAAAAAATACCGTCTGCGGCTCATCAACATGTCGGTCGACACCATGATGGTTTTCTCGATCCAGGGGCATGACTTTAAACTTATAACTTCCGACCTGGTTCCCATCAAACCGATTACAGTGAATTCTGTACTGATAGCTATTGGTATTTTTCATACCCCCTGAGGCTTATCTACATGTGGCTGATTTTTTCTTTAGGTCAGCGCTACGACATTGTCTTCGAAACCGATCAGGATGTAGACAATTATTGGATGTTTGTCCAGACGGCGACCAACTGCAACAGTGCCACGAGTTTTGCTAGCTCCACGATCGTACAAGGAGGTGTTTTGAGCTATGAAGGCGCAAGTACTTCTTTGCCAGCATATGCAAGTCCTCCGGCACTTCCGGCTGCAGGAATCTGCGTGGACCAACCTGATCTCAAGCCGTGGTGGTCAGAGCAGATACCATCAGACGACTTTTTAAGAACCGTCTCAGGCATTGATGTCGTCTTCAATGGGACTGCTTTGAGCGACAATCTTGTGCAGTAAGTATATGTTTTAAGGTGCTGTTGCGAGATGGTGTCGGCTAAACGCACTAGATGGGCCATCAACGGCAGCGCAATGAACATCGACTGGTCAGCCCCAACATTGCAATACGTTGCAGACAAGAAGATCAGCCAGATACCAAGAAGCTACAACGTTTTCAACATGACTAACCACAACCAGGTAAGCGAAACCGGCTTTCGTTGAGATGCACTATATTGACTAACGATTTTTTAGTGGTATTACTGGATCATTACAAACGAAAGCGGCGGACTCGCTCATCCTATTCATTTACACGGACACGATGCTTACGTAAGACATAATTTTCCAGCAGTTGCGGGTTGGGGTGGGTGTGGTGGTGTTGATATGTACCGCCCCAGTCCACCCCGTGGCACTGGTCACGTGGATACGGTGTAGTGTTCTGATAAGTTCGATACTGACAAGTGTTTCAGGTATTATACCAGAGCAGCACACATTGGGATGGCAATATTGGTTCTTTGACACTCGACAATCCCATGCGCCGCGACGTCTACATCTTACCAGCCAATGGGCAACTCATTCTCGCTTTCCCGGCAGACAACCCCGGGGCATGGCTTATGCACTGTCACATTGTGAGTTACAAGCTATGGCAGAAATAACAACAGTCACTAATAGAGATACAGGCGTGGCACGTTACTGATGGTTTATCCCTCCAATTTCTGGAGACACCGGAACTTTTTGCTTTCGACAGCAGCGTTATCAACCCAAACTGCGAAGCCTGGAGAGAGTACTGGAATGGTCCGCACCCGTATGAAAAAGAGGTGGGGGACTCAGGCTTGTAAGTACTATATTAACTGTTTTTTTTTTAAAAAAAAAAATAAAGACTACAGGCTTACAAACCGATAATAGGTAATTTAAACTCATTACAGTCTAAGGAGCCGCACACTTGAATTCCATATCGAAACTGATTACTCAAGGGTAATAGCATGGAGTGGATCTGTGTTGAAGGTTGACGTGAGATTCATTGAGGAGGTCATTTCCACCAGAATTTCCTAATTGGGAAAGGCGGTGGCAGAAACCCCGGATGATCACCGAGGCCCGGGCAAATTTGTAGCAACCTATGGCGTGCTATGAGCGTGGAGGAATCTGAGCATACATATCACGGGCACCTATCTTTGATTGCGCAGACGTTTATTTGGACGTCATGTCGAATGACATTCTATCTACACAAGGAGGCACCCCACAGAACCTCTGAATGATCGTCTCAGGCCATGTGCGAAGCTTCGTCGTCGCGAACCCGGCCCCGACTAGCTCGATAAGGCTTGAGACTACGTGCATTTGTATGGGGCCGGTAGGAATTTAGATGGGTCACGAGAAAGCCCGAGCTCATCCTGCGTGCAAGGCCCGGGCGGACTGACAGGCTGATCGGGGCCGATTTGCAACAGCGCGAACAGGTTCGCGTGGAGCTACACTACCTATGCATGGAAGCGCGTAGGTAGGTCTTCAGTGGTCGCTCGGTGCTGCGATCAGGGCGGGCATCAACTCGTCCATGTCGTCCTCGGCACGCAGACGAACGGTGATATTGGGCGCTTCCCGGGGTTCTGGGTGATTCTGTTCTGCAGCGGCACGCTAACGAGTAAGTCGACGGTGAAGCTGAGCGGTGAGGGTCTCTGGGTTGTCTGGGGAGGGTTCTGGCAAAAGTCTCACGCCAGCAAGAAGGAAGGGCAAAAGCAAATGACTGGTCCCGGCACGGCACCGTGCAATTGAGCCAATTGAGGCGCCTCGCGCGCCAGCTCATCGGTCGTTTCAAGGGCGGAAAAGGCTTTGGAGTCGCATCGCGGCAGGTTACGGTCGGCTTGTCGTCCAATCGGGCGTCGGCAAAACCTCCCTCGTGCCTCGCAGTGCGCCTGCCTCCTTAAACACCGCCAGATCGGTCACCTTTCTCGTCTCAAGGCCCGCCCGCTTCCCTCTCCGCCGCATTCTCCCCCCCGTCAACTATGGTGCTTGCCCGCCTGGACGCGTCTCGAGCTCATTGTATCATCGTCGCCTCCAGCCCCATGTCCCTCTTTTAGCTGCCACACGGACGCGTTCCCTTTGTACACATGTTTAGCGCGTCATCGTCATCCTGGTTGTTTATCTGAAGAATATCCTTGCAGCCTCTGCGCCCGGCTCTCTTCTCCAGATCCCCAACAACCCGCGCCCGCGCGACAACCTCCCTCGCCCACCGTACCCGGCACTAGATGTTGAATGCAATCTCAACACAATTCCACTCCGCCTCCACGTCCCTCGCCTCCACCCGCTTCCGCAGTGGAAGGTGAAAAAGGTGTCACCACTGACGACCTGGACGCCGTCTCTCCAACCCACACCCTCTGGGACGCCCCGTCGCCCACCCAGACGCTGGGTCATTCGAGTCCTGAGCTTCCGCCGCTCCCCGCCTTACCGCCACTCGGGGGTGCGCCCCACACGCCGTCGACGCTGCTCAAGCGCCCGCTCGAAGATAGTTCCTTTTTCACCGCAAGCTGGGGTTCGCCATACCAGCACCCCTCGCCCGACGACAAACACAAGTCCAGCCCACAAAAAGACGGCTCGCCCTATAGCGGCGACAGTCTTGGAGACGATCTCGAGGATCCACTTGGCTCGCCGAGGTTTGGTCTTGAGCACCTGATCCCCACACGTCTGGAGGAGGATAGCGACGAGAGGGAAGACAAGGGCGACAGCGAGCCGAAGTTCAAGTTTGACCTCTCCCACCTGCTACCCGCCCGACTCCGCTCGTCGTCGCAGAGCCCGTCCACTCCGAGCAGGTCAACCACACCCTCTTGGCTCGATACGCTTGCGGAGAAGACGCCCAAACCTCCCTCCATACCGAAGCCGGGACCTCTGTTCTTCCCTCGCGAACCTACCGAAAACTGGGTAAAACAATATTTGACGGGACAGTGGCAGTCGGAGAAGGGTAACTGGTGGAGCGAAGGATCAACCGAGGAAGAGTCTGACGAGAGCTTGGGCGAAACCTCTCAGGCTCGGACTTTCAAGACCAAAGACAAGGACAAGAAACGCAAGAGTCGCAAGGGTCATAAGCTTCGGGAAGATAACCTTACACTGAAGCAACAAGATTTTTGGGCACACTTCGGCGAGAAGAGCAAGGAGCAGATCAGCAAGATGCTGGCTTCGAGGTTCGCAGAGCCTGTGCCGACCTCGAGTCCGGCCCCGGTGCAAGAACCGCAGCTTCCGCTCCCGGCTGATGTAATAGCAGACGCAAAAAGCCCCAGTCCGCTTGACAAGGACAAGCCTCTACCCATGCCGCCGCCTACCAATGTCTCTAATCAGAAGGTCCCCTCGCCGTCGAGCTCAAATCTTCTTGCACCCCCTAAGGTTGTAGACACGGCGAAAGCGGCAATTGCTCGCAACAAGAAGCGCGTTCTTTGGAGGGGCAGGAACATTGTCATTCAGATACCTCCTGATCCTACGCGCGGGAAAGAAGGCGGACCACCGCGTCCCCTTTCCTGGGACGAGGTTGGTGAGCGTATCAAGGGGTTTGAGCAACAGGGTCTGAATACTCAAGGCTTCGATACGGGTGTGGATGATGATGGACTTCCGGCGCAGGCAGTTCCACTGTTTCCAGATCCGGCAGAGACGCAACAAGAGATGGCCAATAAGGACTACCATGTGCACGTCCCGAATAGGGCTGAGTGGGAAGCTTATGTCAATTTCCTGACTGAGCAGAAGCTTGCTGCTCTGGGCGTTAGTACCGGCATGGATGACCCAGTCGCCGATATGTCTCGACAGGGATCAGCCCAGTATCATGGGCTTGCTCTCTCACCGCCTCCGCAAACCTCTTCAGCCGCAAGCACGGGCATTGCTGGATTGCCAGGCCCTTTTGCATTACCAGCCGGCCCGTCGCCTGGAATTCCAGGGCATATGACCCGGGCCTCAATCGCCTCTCCCATATCACCTTTTGGAAACCCTCGTCCAACCATGCATCTTCACAGAGCGTCGACCTTCACCTCGGCTCCGAACTTCCCTCAACAGCAACCTACGCCACCAGGTATGCCCGGCTGGTCTCCTCACACTTTCATCAGCCAGAACGGGGATATACGTGGAGCTTCTCCTGCATTGCCTACTAGTAGGTCTGATCTGGTCAACATGATGTCTCCGATATCGCCTTTTGGTGCCAAGCAAGGGCAACAGCAATTCCCCTTCCCGCAGACCACGGACGGATTTACTCAAATGCATCAACAGCAACAGGCATTACAGCAGCAACTCCTTCAGCAGCAGCAGCAACAGCTCCTTAATGCTAGACCCAATTCGACGCTTGCCCAACTTCCGGAGGAAGATGTCGAGGAAGAACAACCAAGGCTCCATACGCCACCGCGCTCAAACTCTCGCCCCAATATTGTTGTCCCAACTCCTCGCGGCCATCGCCACAACATTAGCGAGAACCTGGAAAGAGAGATTCGCAATGCGGAGTATCACCTCGAGCAGGCCATCGACCGTCAATTGGACGAGGATGGAGAGTTTGGCACCGGCAACAGATTTGGCATGCATAGTCCGCCAAGCAAACCCACCATGGTCAACGGACATGACACCATGTGGCAGAACAATCAGAACGGCCAGAACGGCTTCCAGCATCAGTCCAACACTAGCAACCAGTCTGCGTCGAATTCTCAACACTATGGTGCTCCAAGTTACCATCAGCATGAAGTTGAGGATGACCAAAAGACAAACATTTCTGACGTCGACACCAACCCTAGTATCGATGGGCAGAACGATCAGGCTTCGGAACATCACTCCTATGGAAGCTCGCAGCTGAACAAGACTGGCACTGGAACGGCCCACTCTAGTCAAGGATCAAAGTCATCAGCCGGCAAATTCAATGTCGAAGCCAAGGAGTTCAAGTTCAACCCTGGTGCATCCTTCACTCCTGAGACTTTCTCGTATGGTTCAAACTTCCAAGCACAGCAACCTGCACAGCAAGAGCAGGAGCAGGCTCCACCGCGCAGCAGTAGTGGGAAGACAGTTTTCCACGCAACGGCTCCAAGCTTTGCTCCTTCATGGAAGCTGGGAGGTCTAGGTGTTCAAAACGGGGCTGCTCCTCTACAGGTTCCTCAAACATCTTTCAACTTCTCCGCTGAAATGCCCGCGGCCAACTACGACGTTCCCATGGATCAAGAAATCGTTGAGGTTGAGGAACAACAACCTCCCGAGACTCCAAACAAAATTTTCAATGGCATCCACATTACAGGAGAAGACATTGTCAAACCTGCTAGGAGGTCCAAGGCGGTTCCCATACAGCAACCTGAACACAAGCCGCATGAGGAGGAAGAGACGTTTGATGAATTCGGTCGACTTGATCAAGCCGAGTGGCGCCAGAAGAGGGCGCGCCACCGCGATGACGAGAATGACAACGTTCCAAAGTTTGCGACGCCTCACATCCTACCGTCTAACGCGCCGCCACAGGCTCTCGGTCCAACAACGAGACGTGGTACTATTTCTCACAAGAGAGCCACTAGTCCCAGGCCGAACGGCACAGAGAATCAGCTTCCACCTCGCTCGAAACAAGGCACTCCTGCCCCCCAGCCGATGAAGGTAGAGATGCCGAAACATATCGAGATGCCCCCTATGCCTTCCGACGCGGAAGGCGACAGAGCTGGTCGTAAGAGACGTGTCAGTAATAGCTCTGTGTCTGGGCCTGTGAAGCCCTTCGATTACACTCCAAGTGCAGGCTTAGGCCTTCACGTCACCAAGCCGTCTACCGATGCCCATGCAGAGCCACAGATGCAACAAGACATGCGCCAGCTCAGTCGCAGTCCTGCAAACACGTATCAACCCAGCGAGGGTGGTTCCTTCATGACAGCTCTTGAGAATGGCAAGACTGTTCCGTACCCAGAGAGTGATGGCCCTGACTACACCTTCCATCAGCCAACATTCGACGAGATTGATGATGTCATGCGGACGATGGCCGAGGGCGGCTCTGAATGCGGTATTGAGAAGAACCACTCGCCGGTGTGGGAGCGTACGAGTCCCCTCCGCAGACCCCGGGCTGAACTGCGCCCTACGAATCTCAACAACGAGTACAAGCGCACTACGCCTAGTCCTGATGAACACCGCTTGTATGCGTCTGCTGCTAAGGGCGACGTCTCTTCGCTGCAGGATCCGTTCAGTGACTCGCGCGCTGGTTTGGCATACGAATCGCCAGTCCACAACCTCAACGGACCCAATGGTGGACAAGTCAGCGACTGGAATGATGTTATAACCTCTGATGAGGAGGGCAAGATCAAGTCGCGCAGTCGCTTCTTCGACAATCATGTTGATACGCTTATTGACAACGTCTTACAGAGTCGTCTGGGTCCACTTGAGAGAAACATGCACATGATCAAGGATTCTATCACTGCTCTGACGCAAGGTCAACACCAGCGTAGCCGCCATACGCGTCTCAGCATGTCTGCAGACGGTGAGAGCGACGCTGATGATGAGGACGACGACCTTGCTTCCAATCACAGAGGACGCTCGCCTGTTAAGGACCGCAAGATGGAGAAGATCAAGAGTGTCATCACTGAAGCTTTGGCCGCACACCAGCCGCCTCAACCCGTGGCATCTGGCTCAGGACCTACACCTGCCGCATCTCCAGGTCTCGACATCGCTGAATTCTACCAGGCACTCGCTGACCTCAAAATCTCTATTGCCCGTTCTGCGACCACTAGCCAACATGATGACTTCCGCGAGCTCATGGAGGAGGCTTTAGCCCGCCAAAGTAAAGCTTTGGTGCAGCAAAACGAGGCAGCTGCCGCCCGGGAGGCCCACGCCCGTATTATGGAGCTGCAAGGAAAGCTTGAAGAGACAGAACAGCGCGTGGAGGCGACGCTTCAAAGCCGTAAGATTGCGGAGATCGAAGAGAAAGACGCTCAACGCAAGCTGGCCCTGCTTGACGAGGAACTGGCTCTTGTTCGTGCACAAGGCCGTGATGATGCCGCCAGAGCCCGTGCTTTGAGCGAAGAAGGCCATGACACCCGCATGAAGTTGAACGCCGCTGTGAGTGCTCAAGAGGAGCTCCACCGCAGACTCGTCGCTCTCGGGACGCAAAATGAGGCGTTGGAAGCCACCCTTAACGAGTATCGCATGTCAAGCAAGAAATGGCACGATGAGATCAGCCGTGCCAGAGTCGACAAAGAAGTCCTGACGAAGACCATTACCACCCTGGAGGCGCGGAACCAAGAGTCTCTCCAGGTCCGCGAGCAAATGCGTGAGAAGCTTGAGAAGCTTCAGAGGGATATGGTCCATGCTACCACTCACGTTGAGGAAGAGAAGCAGTCTTGGCAGCGCAGAGAAGAGGAGGGACTCAAGCGGAATGAGGTGCTTCGTGCCAGGCTCGAGGCCGAAGCTAGGACGCGCGAGAGAATTGAGCGTGAGATGGAAAGGTTGGAGATGCAAGAGCGCGAGATGATGAGAATGAAGGTCATCTTGGACCAAACCCAGAGGGCGAATGCGTCTATGGAAGAGATGGTCAACAAGCAAAGGGTCGAGATCGTCGAATACCAGAAGAGGTCTGCGCGCTTCGAGCGCGAGTTCCACGAGGCCAAAGAGGTCGCTCGGTCCGAAATCAAGCGCATGCGTGTGCTTATGGAGGCAGACATCGACGCTGCGAACAGCCAAGTCAACATCGTTCGTGCCGAGCTCGAGGCCGCTAACAACAGGCTGCGGGCCGACATTGACAACGTCAAGATGGAGGCGGACACTGCCAAGGAAAGGCACGAGCTCTTGCTTGAGAGTGAAGCTGATGCCAAGCATGACGCTCTTCGCGAGGCACACGAGGGTAGAGACCGGGCTCTCAGGGAACAGCAGCACAGGTGGGAGAAGACTTTGGATGATGAGCGGATCCGTTTCCAGCAGCACGCCGAGGCCCAGAAGCTTCGTTTCGAAACGAACATCGAGGACTTCAAGCAGCGGTACGAGAAGACTATCGAGGAACTTCACCGCCAGGCCAACAGGGATGTTGCGAATGCTGTCGATGACAAAACGCGCATTGAGACTCAACTTCACGACCGTCTCGCTTTGTCCGAGGAGAAGGTTGAATATCTTCAAGACAAGATTGCTCATCTCGAGGACAAGCTGGAGGTTGCCAAATCTGCTGCTCACGCTGCCGCCGCGGCGGCGCAGTCGGCCAAGTCGCCTGCCCCTGTCGAGCATGTCCAGCCCAGTGCCCAGGAGAAGGTTTCGCCTCAAGCTCTCCGCGAGTCCATTGTTGTGCTGCAGGAGCAGCTGCAGGAGCGCGAGCAACGCATCGAGTCTCTCGATCAACAACTTTCCGAGCTCGACACTGACGCCCCCTCCAAGCTCAAAGAGCGCGATACCGAAATCGGTTGGCTGCGCGAGCTCCTCGGCGTCCGTGTCGACGACATTTCTGAGCTCATCGATGCTCTCGCTCAGCCCGCCTTCGACCGCGAAGCTGTGCGTGACGCTGCCATTCGCATCCGCACGAATCTGCAGATGGAGCAGCATGAGAAGGAACGCCTCATCTCTGGCGCTCCGCAGACGTTCCCCAGCATCGCCAGCATCTCTAGTTTTGCCACTCCCAAGGCGGCGCAGCTCGCTGCCGCTTTCGGCAATTGGCGCAAGGGCAACAACAACAATGGGGCCAGCAAGCTGGACATGTCGCGGTCCGCAAGCAACGATGGTGGGCAGGCGGCGGCTTATAAGGGTAACAGCCACATGGCGCCGGGCTTTTTGTCGGGTCTGATGACGCCACCGGCAACCGCCATGCGACGCACTCCCTCGCAGCAATCGCATCTCAGCACGCGCTCCAACCCTAACCCGCAAGGTGCAGGAGGCCGCGGATCCTTCTCTTCGGGTCTGCTCAACGTCACTTTCCAGCGGCAGCCCGCGACGCCGCCACTCCTGCGTCGCACTGCTTACGACCAGGACCCAGAAGACGTTGACGTCGATGCGCACGCCCAAGAGTTCCGAGCTCTCGGCCACGGACTGCGCGCTGCTGGCTTCTTTGACGATGACGGCAGCGTGTACGGCGGCAGCACCTATGGTGGCAGCACCTACGGGGGTAGCAATTACGGCGGCGATGGACGGCCGGTGTCATCGAGAAAGGAGAGGAGAGGCAGCAGCGGCGACGGACACATCCGTCGCACTTCGCTAACTGTCGATGATGAGGCGCTCCGGCCGTTTGAGCCCTTTGGCCCCATCATGGAGGACTGACTAGATGAGGCCCTCGAGACAAATCTTGGGGCCGAGAGGTGAGCCCACAAATTGATCGAGCGGGAGGTGCGTGATGGCTTGTCGAAGAGAAAGAAAAAAGAAAAGAAGACGAGCCATGACACGCGTATTGATTGTTCTTTTGTCGTTTCATTGTTTTTTGGTTATCCTATACGGTATCACGCAGCGGGCGCCGGTTCATAAGCGCCATCCACTCCTTGTCCAGATGTGTACGTAATAATGCCTGTTGTTAACGTTTTTTTCCTATTTCTCATACTCTTCTTCTTCATCTTCTCTCTTCTCCGCTGTTGATCTTGGTTCTTCTCCATGCATCTTCTTCCTATCTTTCTTCCTTTTTTCTTTTTTTCTTTCCACCAAAAAAACAAGATTCTCTTCTTCTTCACCAGGGGAGCCACGCGACGCCGACGGACGGGCAGATGGACGAGGAAAAACAAAACGAAAAGATGAATTACCGAAAGCGTCGCGTGGCGAGAAATTCTGTTTGTCGTTTGGTTGGACGTGAGAAAAAGAAATACACTTTTAGATACCCCTCCTCCTCTCCTCCTGCCATGGCTCTCTCTGGCTGGACTGGCGGACACGTATGTAGAAACGAGCACAGAAACCGAAAATTGCGAGGGAGACTGCTGAAATGATTGAGAGGGGTTTGTTTAGGCTTAGGTTGAGGTGGATGAGGTTGTCGCTGTTGCTGCTGCTGTTACGGTTGTTGTTGTTGGGCTTTTGTTGTTATCTATCTACCTACAGTCAGTAACCTACCACGCTGAGAATTGAGATTGCGAGTTTTTTGTGCCGCCGGAATGCTTGTTTTGTTTTGTGGAGGTGGGGTTCGGTGCTGCTGTGCTGCTGTGTTGTTGGGTGTGGTTTTGCTTAGTGCCCTCCTGACTGGCTCGATTTAGGTAAGTTACGCTCAAGGGGACGTGGTTCATTGGGCATCAAGTTATCTTTTCCCGTCGCTAGGTATTTCCTCGAAGGCTTGTATAGTATTGTGTTATACACCACACACCCTCACCAAAGCAACAACCACAACAACAAGCAGAACAACCATAATAATCATCATGCAAGATATCGTCAAAGCATATGGTATATCCCATGGTAAGCCACGCCATCCCCAAAGCCCATACGCACATCAGTCCCGTCCATCCAGTCTATGATCCATCTCTCTCTTTCCCCCAAACACACACACAGCACACCAACCCCACGGACCGAACATCTTCTCACCCACTCCCACTCCCCCCACCAACCACCAACCCAGCCGCTAAGTACCTATGTAAGCAAGCAAGCATGCAAGCCCAAGCCCAAAAACCACCTTACGAGACGCCCTTACAGCTCGTTAAGAAAGAAAAGCAAAACGCCGGCAATGACATGCATGCTTTTGCCGTGCTATGAGAAGACGGGGAAAACCCGGAAGAGGCAAGAACAAAAAGACAGGAAAGGAAGAGAGGAAGAGGAAGAAAAAGGAAATCCGTGTTCAGTAACCCAATTTCGTGCTTCGTGCTCATCGTGCAGCCAGGCCACCAGCTATATGCGGCGACCCGGAAGAGAGGGGGTAAGAAAATATAGAAACGAAAAATGACTGTCCCCCCCAAAAACAAACCCCTACCGCCCAGGGGAAAAACCATTGACTGACAAGACAAGCAAAAAGCGTAACCGGCCCCTAAAAGACCTACGAAACCCTGCCCAACTCTTCTACGTCTAAAAAAAAAAAACACCTGACAGAAATCTTTTTTTCGCATTCCGTGCGTCCCGCCCGTCGGCCGAACCAACCAACCAACAAACAAACAAACAAACAAACAAACCTACAACCCCCCACACACTCAACCCCTCCACAAGACCTCCTCGTCAATCGGCATGGGCGTCAAACTCCGCACCTCCAGCTCCTCCTGAAACGCCTCCATCTCTTCGTCCCTCGACGAAACATACGAGACCGAAGACGTCATGGTCGTCGGAGACGAGACGTCGCCCACGCTGCCCGGGAAGACGGACTCGCTGGGGGTGTAGGGCTGCTGGTTGCGGGCGTCGGTGATGGCCGCCGCCGCATCATCGGCGGCTCCCTCGAGCGACGTGTCCGAGCCGCGGTGGCTGCGCATGGCGTCCGTGGCGCGCTTGATGCGGTCGGAGCGCAGCTCCTCGCGCTCGCGCATCACCTGGCGCTCGTGCTCGACGGCGCTCTGCCGCCGCTCCTCGACGTCCTTGCGCCGCACCACCTTCTTCAGCGCGTCGCTGGCTTGCATCAGCCCGTCGATGCTGATCGCGTGGTTCGTCATTTGCTGGTTGATGTAGTGGTACACGGCGCCCGGGTTGTCTTGCTCGAGGAGCTGTCGCTCGTTCAGCTTCAGCAGGGCTAGTGCTACTTGGAAGAGGAACGTGCTCCCGTCGTGCATGCAGAGTACTACGTCCCATACCCTGAAAAGAGCCTCTGCGCTCAGGCAGTCGGTAAAGACGGACAGGAACCACTGGAAGGTCAATGCTTCCAGTTCGATACCGAGATTGTCAAAGTGTGCAGAGAGGCGCGGAAGTAGCTCTCTGACGTACTGACGTAGGACTTGCTGGTCAGCACGAGAGGCGAGAAGAGAGTGGTCGTAGTAGGATTGCGGAAGAATGTTCTCAATCATGGTGGCGAGCACCCAGAAAGCATCCTCAGCAGTAGGCATGATGAGTAGGAGACACGCAGTAATGAGGTTCATGCCCTGGCAGTAACCGACCTCGGCGTTGCGGCGCGAGTACGCAAGTAAAACCTCGTTAAGCTTGCTCACACCGGGCCCGCGGCGGAAGAAGATGTTGTCAGTCAGCGTGCGGTTGATGTCCATCTGGATCTGGACCGCAATCTGCGGGTCGCTGACACCGTTTGCGACGAGATCCTCATAGTAACCAGGAACCCGCATCGCAGAGGCGCCGCTGCACTCGGCCCAAATCTTTGCTCGATACGCAACGGGGATGCCTCCAAGGACTAGCGCTTTGAACTCTTTCCACTTCGCACGTCCGACTTTGCCCTTGTTGCCGAGTCCAGCGATACCAATAATCTCACCGTCGGTGAGAAGTGCTTCTGGCATGCTGTTCTTGGGACGACCTTCGCTGGTAGCAATAGCATCACCTTCGCGCTTGCGTTCTGCGCGAACGCGCCGGAGGAAATCGTTCCATTTGACAGTCTTATCACGCTGCAGGGAGTCGTGTAGCTCAGTGAGTTGCTGGAGCAATGCTTTGACTGGATCTGGCTGATTCTCTGATGCTGGAGTCGATGGCGCCGAGTCGCTAGACGGTAGAGCGAGCTCCGCAAGATCAGAAGTCACATGCGAAGGCGAAGGCTCCGGGTTTGCACTCGGAGTCGGCAGAGACCCGCGCTTTTGGACAATTTGAGATGCCTTTGGGGTAGCGTCTTCCACTTCTACGGTAGTGACCGGTCCAAGAGGAGCAGGAGTGTGGGAAAGAAGCTCGGTGGGAAACGTTGCTAGCTTCAGGTAGTCTTGCCAGCGTTTGGCAGACTGCGACTCGTCGGCTTGCGAATGTATGCTTGCCGGTTTGTTGTTAGCCAACTCCGGCTCGTTATTGTATGCATTTGATTCCTCGTCCCCTGAGGCACCAAGCAGATCTCGTGCATTGCCCAAAGACTCGGCTTTAGTATGACGCCCGCTCTTCCCGAAAACTGCTGCTGCTGCTTCGGCTTGCCGCTTCTTTCGGCGCTGGTCGTAGATGAAGCCGAACCTGTCAGTAAGGTAGCCCGAGCTTTCACTGATGTTGTTGTTATGTTGCATGAGCGTAGGCGGGCGAGACTCTTCCGGCAAGATCATGTCCATCTCCACAGGCCCCAGATTAGTGTTCGACCGGTTCATCGGTGGAGGCGGGCTCTGTAATGTTGCCGTGTTGCGCATACTCTCCGGCGAGGCGCTTTTGATCGTCCCATTCGGTCCAAGCGACGTCCTCGGGCCACGACCTCTTGTGATGGTGGCGGTTGTCGAGACCCTTTTAAGATTGGCCGATGCTGTTGTTTTGGTCGAGTCCATCGAGGCCGTGCGTTTATTTTCCGCATCCGCGACCGCATTTGGCCTTCCTCGCAGAGCGCCTGTCTTGTCTGCCATTTGGTTGTTACCAGCCACGAGTCTTAAAGCCCACGAGGCCACAGAGCCCGATGATCTTCGTGACGAAGCTCCAGAAGCATCTGGGTCATCACCCCTCAAACCACTGACTCTTTTTGGAATACCCTCAATTGAAGGAGGAAACATATCGTTGCTAAGCGCTCTACGTTGCTGCCCGATGCTAGAAGCTCTTGAACGAACTGTTTGCGGGTCATCATCGTAGTTGCTCGCAACACTTGGCGTTTGACTCCTCCTTTTGTTGGCATTTCCATTCCAAAGATAGTTCTTCCAGCCTCTACTACCCTGCCTCGACCTAGAAGAGTATGCGGCGTCGGAGGTTACAGAGTGCGAGTCGTCCAGAGAAGGGAAAGGGGCGAGAGACTTATCGTCTTCATCGATAAGCTCCCTTTCTCCATCGTTTTCGTCAATTAGCGCTCGAGCGAGATGCTTGTCTATGCTGTCCTCCGGATGCAGCTCATCTGGGTCGACGAGGGTGCTTCTCCTCTTAGACCTCGTGCCTGGCTCTGCAGCCTCCTCAGCCTGCCTCTGCTTATGACCTCGTTCCACCGCCCTTAAGCGAGTCTCAATGTCAAGGTTTGAGATCTCGCATTCTTGCAGCATCTTCTTCAATATCCTCTCCCGCTCCTCGGCCTTGCGACGCAACGCCGTTATTTGGGCATCGCGTTGTGCAAGGTCCTCCGCGAGTTGCTTGACCAAAGCCACCGGGCCATTCCGAGCCAACAGAGCCTCAATGTGTTTGTCGTCGGCATGATGCAGGTTCCCTGGGATGTTCTCCACATTTTGCGGGGTGTCGTCGAAAAGGGCAGACCGATCTGCAGACGAGGGTGCCGACGCCACCAAGCTGCCCACAATGGATTGTGTCGACTTTCGTTTGCTCGACACGCGAACGGTGGGCGGATCGGGGAGGCCGGGAGAGTCTGGTGGCGGTTGGGGGAATTGCTGGAAGCCGTGGTAGCGAGCGGTAATGGGAGAGCCTTCGGGGGAGGGCGAGAGGGATGGAAACGAGGTCAGGCTCTTGTCAGAGGGAGTGGGAGCGCTCCGCTGCAACGAGGCGGTAGAGGGAGACTTGCGCGGCTTGGAGCGCTTGGAGGCAGACTTTCTGCTACCCGAGGAGGCGGAGTGGGTGGAGGAGGTGCGGCGAAGGGAGGCATCGCTGCTGAGGGCGTCCATGGCCATGCAAACCATGCACCAGGAGGGGTATTGGGTGATCGCGTGGGTGAATTTATTCGGGAAGTGGGAGGAGGAGCATGCGCGATGATGGATGATCTGCCCTCTGCGTCATCCGGGCCAGGGTGCTTGGACGGGGCTGCGCGGCGGCGAATTTTTGCTGTCGTGGCACTCGACGGGCGCGCGAGGCTTTGTAAATGTGGGTGGGGGTGGTTGAGAAGACCAGGCCTCTGCCGGGAATGCTTGGGCGGCCAGCACAGATGCGATGCACAGGTACAGTAAATTGCAGCTGTCTCGCGCCTGCTGATCCCGCGCGCTTCTCAGGGCCTGGGGCTCAAGCTCCAGGGCTCCCCGCACACGACCTAAGCCCTACGAATTAAAATAAAACAAAAACAAAAACCATGACCTTCCTCTCAAGTAGTTACTTCTCTCGACTCAATACATGGAATCGTCATCAATCGCTCCTCTGCCACGACACGGACGCTCCTCAAACTGGGGTACTGCTGCGCCACTAGGTACTCCGTACTACAACAATGGAACACCCTCCACCCCCGCTCCTAAACTCCCCGATTGTCCCATGTGCCCATACTCGAGCCTGTTATCCATCCATGGTTTCAAGCCGGTATGTGATCCTTGCTTCTCATCTCCCCTTATGTCCCCCCTCCCACCCTGCCGGCTGCCGCAGCCTGATACCCGCCGGCGCCTTCATTTCATCACGCTGCGCCCGATGGCCCAACGCTAACGTTTGGTGGCTGCCCAGTTGTGTCAAGTCGTCAAGGACGCTCAGGGGAAATATTCGCGCATCCTTCCCCAAGCCCAAGCCCCTAGGAGTACTCAAATCTTGGTCCTTACCCTGACGTTCTAGAGTGCGGCCACGAGGTTAACCACGAGGTTGACATCTGATGTGGCTGTGCGAATTGCGTCAGAAATCCATTGTTTCTGGTGCGAGTCAGCCAGGACCCTGCCAAACACATCACCACCCTGCCACTCATCCTCATAGGTACTCGTCATCTTTAGCATTCTACGCCTGCTTTTCACCACCTTACACTACCCTCCTATACAACCACCCTCCGCTTACCTTTTAATACTACCCAAGTGGTCGACAGGGCTATATGATGAGATGTACAACACCAGATCTCAAGACTTGACTTCGTCGCCAAAATGTCTGGTGAAGTCCCTATACGTGAACGGCAAGCAATGAGTAGCGAACGATGTTCATATCGCTCGAAGCTTCAATCGTGTCAGAATTTTCTCACACAAGGTTCGCAATCATTTTGTCTTTAGAATTGTTGCCCTGCCGACGCTTGTCGCTATCAAGCGGTCTACTCATATTCCGGTTCAACGCCAATACCTATCGAAGTAAGCCGAGCTTCGTCAGTCACATGGAAGGAACATCACGCCTTCGGGTTTCCAGACAGCCAATCTCAAACTTCCTTCCCCATTCCGCTTAACCGGACGAAATCTTCGGACACTGCCGGCTTCTCCGCATGCCGACCAGTTCATGCATCTCAAGTTGGTTAAAAGACCGGGCCCCGCAAGAGTGGTAGCGAGGACAAGCTTTCAGGCTGAAGCCAAGCTCTGCGCCTTGAGGATCCGGTTATATCCCAGCTTGCTAAGACACCCTGTCTCAAAGCCTCTTAACATTGTCAATCGGGATCATCGAAGAAGATTCATAGGAGACCAGGCTAGACTCTCAAACCCTGTTTAGTACAGAACAAATTATTCAATGGTCAAGTTAAGGCCTCGCATACGCACACAAGACAATTGGGGAAACACTGGCTGCAAATAGGTAAGAAAAATCGAATAAACAAAAAGAACAACATTACTTTGGCTAAGTACGTACCGGGCTTCTCACTACCGATATCCGGGTGAGTTTTACCTCTCATTGCTCTCGGTGTAAGCTAGTTGGAAAGACAGAGATGGGAATTTGAATCGACCTTAGCCTGCTTATACTCTCATCTTCCCTTGCCATTGCGACAGTGATTGCGACATCCGCCTCGCACTCAGCGCAAGTTGGTTGTGTTGTATCGTGTGAGGGGTATCGGCGCTTAATTTATATCCCGGCAAACACAACAGTTACCTTCCATTTACGGTAAAGCGTTCACCACTTTTGAGCTGCCGAAGGACATGGGTTTTTAAGCTTCGTTAAGCATGACCAAAGTGGCTAAGCGTCCAAGATAAGCATCGTGGCTGTCAGCCAGGTATGTGTTACTTCCAGCGTGTACCTTATGAGACGCGACTGTCCTCTGTAGCCTTCGTTATCCGCTCCTGTACCTCTCTGTATCACACTTGCGCTGACGGATAGATTTGGTTTTGCTAATGTCAGCATCGCTCATTGGCCAACCCGCGGTATCCCCCATTATTTGTAGAAGCCGACGGGCCGAACATACCTTCACGTCGTTGTATCCGTGGCCTGAGAACATGTCGCCGAACGACGGACGACTGTGGCCAGACCTTATCACACCCCGGAGTTGGTCCACCAAAACTCGCCTCGGCCCGCTTGCGCCATAGTGTTTTTTTAGAAGGCATATTCCTGCCATCCAATAAGAAGCTGTAATTATCGGTGTCGTAAAATGATCCTTGGCTGGTTGTGTTCCTTATCAAGAAGCTGCTACAGCGGTCCTCTGTTTCAACAGCGCCATTCGCTGTGTCTCTAATCGACATCTTAACGCTATCCCGATCTCAATCAATGCTATGGTGTGTTCCGGACGTTCAGTTCCTATTAGGGAAGCTTCTTAAGAATCCATAATTATCGTACACATCTAGCGCTCCTGGTATCCTATCTGTCTGCGAATCGGAGAATACTACCCTGGCAATATGGCTCTCAACCCATCACCTGCCAATACTGCCGACCCGCTACAGGGCCCATGAAGCATGACCGGAACTACCAACCGGCATGTTTATTCGTCTGAAAGCCTGTCGGCATGCAGATGTGGTGATTTTGTCTCAGCATTGAGTATCTGGCGCAATTGCTGCCGAACACAGGTAGTGGAGCCCTCCGTGGACACCAGTTAAGACTCAGTCTATAAAAGCAGAGAATTCCTACCTCAAATGGTACTCCAAGCTCAGGCTCAAGCAGAAGCACGAAACTCCAACCTCAGTTCCACTCGCAGCATTCGCTCTTGGCTCATACGCCCAGTTCAGTCGCCCTCACCAACCTTCACCATGAAGCTCGCCTCCGTTCTGTCCACCATTGCTATTCTGGCGACTTCAGTCGTCGCGGCCCCCACTCCTGAAGGTGCTATGGGCCATGGCCTTGCTGCTCGTGTTGCTGCCCGCTCCGAGCGTCGCGCTCCCGGCACCTTGCAGCACCTTACCAAGCCTTTGATCAAGACTGGCAGTGCCGAGTTTACGCACGGCATCAACGAGAACGCGACCAAGACTCATGTGCAATACTCTTCTAACTGGGCCGGCGCGGTGATCGAGGAGCCTCCTACGGGTACTTTCACTGCCGTCGTTGGGACCTTCACTGTGCCCGCTCCTAACCCGCCAACTGGTGGCTCTTCGCGCACCACGTACGCGGCATCAGCTTGGGTTGGTATCGATGGCGACACCTATGGCGAGGCCATCCTCCAGACGGGCATCGATTTCGAAGCCCAAGGTGATGAGGTCGCTTTCAGCGCGTGGTACGAGTGGTACCCTGACTATGCCTACGACTTCTCCCTGGACGTCTCGGAAGGCGATGTCATTGCCCTGTCCGCCAAGTCCAGCTCCAGCACTCGCGGCACCGTTGTCATCAACAACTTGACGACCGGCAAGTCGGTGTCCAAGACCCTGTCTGCGCCCGACGCGAGCTCTCCGCTGGGTGGCCAGAACGCCGAGTGGATCGTCGAGGATTTCGAATCGAACGGCAGCCTTGTTGCCTTTGCCGACTTCGGCAAGGTCGTTTTCACCGGTGCTACGGCTACTACCAGCTCTGGTACTACAGTAGGCCCTGACACCGCTGAGATCATTGAGATCAAGTCTGGAAACACGGTCCTTACGGACGTCTCTATCGACAGTGACAGCCAGCTTACTGTTACCTACGTTTAAGGAGAACATGCTTGGGGTTAGACACACCTATCTTCCGTTGTATGGATTAGGCTTGAGCAATGGAATTGAAGATGGTGGTGATTTGGAGAAGATGATGAACACTGCGGCGCGGTGTGGTCGGAGATGGGGCTGGAGCTTTGATATTGTCAAATAAGCTACTGCCAATCATTGTAGCTACGGCACGGAACGAGAAGCCATGAGCGGGAAGCTTTTCTTACTGTCGTTGTCTTCTTCGCTTCCCTCTACAGGTTTAGACTGCTGCAGGGTCAGCTGCTTGTAGAAATTGAGACTTTACTGGTATGCTATACTATTTGAGTGACGCCTACCGTAAAATTCTAAGACCAATTAAGGTAGAGCCCCAGAACTGAAAGAGTCGGAACAAGAATGGTGATGCTTGTTGTCCAGTTCACGTGACCGAATGTTGTTTAGCTCGGCACGTGAAGACGTGCATCGCCGCCTGGCAGTATGACGCGTCTAAGCTTCGCGAAGACACAACCACCCGCGTCAACATGAGCAAAGCTGTCGAGCAGGCCCTTACTGGCCTGATACCATCATGGAACAGTTCATTGCCGTCAGAGCTCGTCGACAGCGCCGTTTCCCTTCTCGCTCAATCCAGAAACAAAGCCAGCAGTCTCAAGCCAGACGAAGAGATTGCGAGGACTTATGCATGTGCAAACCTAGCATGTGAGAGGTAAGTAACTGGAAAGGCTTCTAGACTTCAATTAGGGATATTAACCCCTTATAGGCTCAAGCAACGCCTCAACCTCCCCCAGATCGTTTTGCGACCGCCGGTCCCTCCACGTATCTACAGGAAGGTCTACAATTATTTTGATACCGCCCTTGCCGTACGCGCGCCGCAGACACCGAGTAAAAGAGGTCGCGGCGCAGAGTCAGCAACAGCCACACCCGTAAAGCGAACGCCGGCCGCTACATCGTCAAAGGCTACACCACGACACAAAGCACTTCCAGCGAAGCGCAATGAAGACGCAAACCGCGAGGACGCCCCGGAGTGGGTCATGCCTATGATCAGACAAGTGTGCAAGGGTTTAGAGGCACCGGCGGCGCCGCCGCATGTATACGCTGGCGTCTGCTCCGTCCTTAAATTGCAGAACGGTACGACGCCAAGCCGTACTAGGACGCGCCGCACTTCCGGATCGACTGCATCTGCAGAAGCGGTTACTGAATCTCAAATACCAGCACTTATTGTGGCATTGTTAGTCTGCACCATGATTCGACTATCTGGAAACACAACAACTGGTGACGAAAACGAGCAGAGAAAATCAAAAGCTGTTTCGATACTGCAGGAAAACGACATCTGCAAAGACCAGGCAGAAGACGATTTAGAGGAACTTATTGAACATTTCCTGGGGGTGGCAACAAAAGGCTGGCTGGAGCTGGAATGGTTTCAAAACATCGTCCAGGGCTCTGGGCTGGACAACAGCATTCATACCAACGGCAGCGAAGAGGAAGTGGGCGAGAGCAATGTGGAAAGTTCTCGACCGAGCCGCCCAGCAACTACCACCCCGAAGAGGAGGCGGGCGGCATCACAAACCCTCAAGAGTAAGCCTGTTCTGATGCAAAGCGGGCTAGGCACCATGTTCCAGGAAAAAGTGGACTATCTGAGCGATACAAGACGGCTGGACTTCTTGGACTGGAAGGAACATATTATGGCCCGTATCGAGCAAATCGAAGAGCAGCAACGGGCCAACGGCTCTGCGATGGACGTCTCGGCCGGATGATGAGGGCAAAGAGACCCGATGCTTGATATCAGCCACTGGTCATGTACGCAGTGGTTGAGCTGGCTACAAGCGCCTCGGGACAAGATTTCATGTTCACAATCTCCACGTCCGACACCGCCATTGAGATCATTCTTGTTGCCAATGCAACAAACTCCAATGAGAGTACGATGGCCACCAACTATACCCCGACCTTGATATATGAGGTTAGGAGCAAGTCTAGCGATTGAACAAGGCTGGAATGCTCAAGAGGCAGACCATCCGTGCAGTCAGTCTCTCCGCCTCAAAATTCATTGTGTTATCCGATTCATATCTATCTGCATACCCTCGCTGAGATTCATACATCTGTCTTTTTATTCTATTTTTATGTGAAATCACCCTATGCCAGCCTTGTCCGTAAGTATATGCCTTGATTGTTAACTGACCACCCACGACAGATCGATATTCCTGCTGTTTGATGCGGGCTTTGCATAGGCTTAAGCCGAGGCAAGAGCGATCAACTCAGCCCCCGTGCAAATCATGTTTCGCCACGACCCCACTCAGCCGTGACCCATGTGAAACTTGCCAAAAACACGATCCTTTCAATGAACACAACTCTTCTCAGTAACGGTGCAACCTTGGACTGAGCTTTGGTTACTTGACGGACCAACATCATGGAGGATGAATATGATCCGCAGTGGCTCGCAGTAAGTTAGCTCATTGTATCGTAAAAGACGCGCCTGTGCCGCTTCAGTCCCTGACAGTCCGGGACTAGCTCGAAAGGGCTGGCGGGGGCCCAAAGGAGCTTCGAGGTACTGGTCAAGAGATAAGAGAGCAGTACGATTCCATGCTGCTGGCGCTTTCGCAGCAGTGGCCAGCTCAGCCATCAGTTCATACACGTTTGTTCAATACTCCATCAATCATCTAGGTTATGACTAACAAGGTATAGGTGACTTGACAATTGGATCCGATTCACCGGTTGGGCAGATTCCGATTCGAGTTTATTCGCCGTCATTGGAGCAAGAAGCCAAGTTGCCCCTTGGTGTCTTGTTTCATGGCGGTGGATGGCTGTCTGGTACACTGGACAGTGAGCACGCACAATGCTGCATTATCGCCAAGGAAACACCATGTGTCATTTTCTCTGTCGGGTACAAGTTGGGACCAGAGCACAAAACTCCAGAGATACTGGCCAGCTGCGCGTATGCACTCCGCTACGTAAGTCACGCTAAATACATACACCTGCGGTATTGTTTAACCATTGTTTATCAAGGCCTACACTCATGCTGCTGGATTGGGCGGTGACCCCGAAAAGCTTTTCACTATTGGAGGATCTGCTGGTGCTACTTTGGCGCTACATTTTGCTCCTGCGTCAATCGGCGACAACATAATGGGTGCGCCGGTTCGTGGCTGCATTGCTCTTAACCCTGTGGCCTTGTACCCTGAGCAGCCACCCAACAAGTACCAGCACCTATACCGGTCTTTCAAAGAGTTCGAGTTCACCGCCCGTTTCGTCAAGGGCCCTAATGTGCGAGGAGCTTTCGGTAAGTCCTGTGATCATCTATGTTGCGCTATAGTCGTTTTGGCTTATACGAAGGGTTTATTTGACAGAAAGCATCGCGACAAAACCAGAGGATCGGGACATTGTGAATTTCGCTTATAGTGATTCATCGTACCACTCCCAGTTTCCGCCAACGTACATTGTGACTTCTGAGAAAGATGTGATGCGCGATGATGGGGTGATTATGGAAGCTCTACTGCGAGATGCAGGCGTGCCTGTCAAAAGAGATCATTATATGGGAATGCCGCATTATTTCTTCGTCTATCCCTCATTGGACAGGAGCAAGGCTTTCCTTGAAAACACCGCAGCTGGTATCCGGTTTGTGCTGAAGGAAGATCCCTTGTCGGCAAACATACTTTAGCGCACCTACCGTCATAGCTCCGATACTAGACTTTGCGGAGAGAAGACCGCGCACTCGCTACTTCGGTGCAAAAATATGCGAAGGATGCATGGTGATCTGCACTACTACCCCAGCTCTTCCCCGCGTTTTACCCCACAATACACCCCACGTTTTTGACGTTGATGGTTCCATTTAGGCATCCCGAGATACGACCCCGTGAGCCTATAGCAAGGGCACAACGTGAGCAGGAAAGTCCCGGGCGTGGCGGCAAGTGTCCACGGCAAAGTTTCCGCGTTCATGGTTCCGCAAGTCTTGGGCATGGTTATATGTATCAGAACCTTCGTCATGGTCGCACCGTTGAACTGCATCCACCCGATCCCTTTGTTGAGACAGCGGCCACACTGCGACCGCCCAGTTTTCCAACAATCAGGCAATGGAATCATCGAAACATATCGACAACAAGCCAGGCGCAGAGTTTATCGAGTATCATGATGTCGACAAAACCCAGAATGTGACCGAGCAAAAGGGCGCAGACGAAGAACAGGCGGCGCTTTACAGGGAGTTCAAAGCCAAGGACAAGGAATGGCATCGCAAGCAAACGAAGAAGTTGATGCGAAAGGTCAACTTGCATTTAATCCCTCTATTGATTCTAATGTACCTTCTCAACTTCTTGGACCGAAAGTATGACCCATCTCGCCTTGATTACATATCTGCTCTTATCAACAGTTGCTGATTGGCTGGTAGCAACCTCTCGCAAGCTCGACTTGGAGGGCTGGAGGAGGATCTTGGTATGACCGGGACAGACTTCAATCTGGCTACAAGCATATTGTTTGTTGTAAATGAACGCCATATTCAAATCAACAAAGGTTATACTAACGATGTGTTAGGGTTATTTGTTAATGCAAATTCCCTCCAATCTCATTCTAACCCGTATCCGACCCTCTCTATATCTGGGTGTCGCAATGGCAATTTGGGGCATGATATCCGCCGCGCAGGCCGCGGCCCACAGTTTCGGTGGCCTCATAGCCGCCAGGTTCTGCCTTGGTTTTGCTGAGGCGCCGTTCTTTGCGGGCGCAATCTTCCTAATGTCGTCGTGGTACACGCGCAGTGAGCTAGCCCACAGAATCTCTTGGTTCTACTGTGGGAGCGCACTCGCAAATGCTTTCGGCGGCCTCCTTGGAGCGGGCGTGCTCGCAAATCTCGACGGCGCGCATGGTATTAATGCCTGGCGCTGGCTGTTCATCATCGAAGGAACTATCACTGTCGGCATCGCCCTGATTGCGGCTGTGGTGTTGCCGGATTTCCCGGCCACGACACGCTGGTTGACGCCCGAGGAGAGATCCTATGCTCAGTGGCGGCTCATTGACGATACAGGTGAAGCTGATATTGCGGAATCAACCAGCATCATGGAAGGTGTCAAGATGGCGCTGCGCGACTACCGTTTATACCTCTTCACAATACTCCAGCATGCCTCGCTACTAACTCAGACGTCAGTAGATATGCGTACCCCATGCATACAGAACGATTGGTGGCTTACTATCTCTACACAGGTTTCAATACTTCTTCCCCAGCGTGGTGAGCACTCTCGGCTACGGTAACATCGAAACGCTCCTCATCACTGCGCCGGTATGGATCGCGACGTTCCTAGTTTCACTCGTCGTGACATACACATCCGGACGGACCGGGGACAGGTGCATCCACATCGTCTGCCTAATAATGATCTCGGTGGTGGGCAACATTCTGTGCTCCGCCACGCTCAGCACACCAGTGCGCTTCTTCGCCATGTTCCTTATGCCGGTATGTCAGCCCTTCCGCACACCCCCACGCTCATCATCATCACTGACCCCGGCACCACTGCAGATGGGCGCCGTGTCTGCCTACCAGATCATCATCACCTGGGTAGCAAACAGCTTCCCGCGGCCCCTTGTCAAACGAAGCACCTGCATCTCCGTGGCAAACATGATCGGCAACGTTGCGAATATCTACGGCACGTACATGTACCCCTCGTTCGACTCGCCGCGCTATATCCCCGGCGGCAGCGCAACGGCTGCTGTGGGGCTGTTTGTGGCTTTCATGGCTATTGTCATTCGCATGTTTTTGAAGCGCGACAATACGAAGCTGGCGCAGAGTGAGGTGCTGGATAATGATGAGAGGGGACGCGGTGCCGCTATTTCGGATGTGAGGGTCGTGGGGTTCAGGTATATCTTATAGGTTGGGGCACGTCTAATCGGTATTGTAACACAAGGCTATTTGCAATTTCCAAGAATTTCCTGAATATTATCGTTTTTGTCAGTGTGCTGGACATCCAATGAACATGGAGTGAGCCTTAGTAGTGCACATAGCGGAATGACTGCCTTACTCATGCTTCTGTCGGCCCCTGTTCATGTGCGAGGCTAAGCTTACGCAGTGGCGTTAATACTGCAGCTTTCCAGTAGTCAATAGTTTTTAAGTATCTTAGCAGTAGCACTTAGCGATTCCGTAATAACGCTATTATAAGATAAATATTTCAAACTATTACTTTTATTTCTTTATTAGTATTAGAAATCTTAGTATACTAACTTATCTATATAGACTTGTAGTCTATTTTATTATTAGTAATTTGTCTAGTAGTAGTAACCTAGTAGGCTTAACTTTTTTAAGGATAACTTAGATAAGGTAGATCGTACTACCGTAGCGACCGCTAATATAGTAATAGAAGACTTTAAGTTTAACTTATAAATACTAGTTAGTAGTTTCTACTATTTCTACCTAGCTATAAATAGTAGATTAAGTAGCGAGAAGACTAGTACTAACTTATAAGCTTTTAATATCTAAGCTAAAAAAAAAAAAAAATATTTTAATTTTTAAAACTAAATTTCTTATTAAATTAGTTTATAATTTAGTAATAACTATTCATATTATTAGCTTCTCGAAATACTTAGAATATTCTAGAAAAATAGCTATAGAAGTAGAAAATAAGTTACTTTATTATACTTAAGAAACTATTATATAAACTTATTAGTAAGCACTAGCCTTACGCGAAAATCTTAATACTAAGCTACGTCTTCTTTAAATCTTACTTTCTAGGACTTTACGTACCTTTCTTTAAAGGTCTAAGTCTTCTAAGTCTTTACTAATTCTTCTTCTATACGAGCGAGTAAGTTATTTTTCTATTCTATTTTTCTAGTTTAAGATAGAGATGCTTTGGTATCTCTTTCTTACTTAGATATTCTCTAAGGCACTGTTCGCATCCGTAATTAGGAATAGAGTAACTAACATGTAACAATAGGTGGCTAATAGGTAGAGGATGCCTACGGTGGTTTTAGTCGATGCGCGCGTTGACCCAGACAAGGTGAGATCTACGCGTCCATAACGCGAACCTGACCGTCCTAACGGGTCCCTAACACCCCTAAGATTATAGAGATTGTCGCGCATAGAACCACAGAGGAGCGAGTAAGTCCCCAAAGATCAATTAGTCCCTATTAGTCTAACTTATCGCCCGCGCATAGGGAGAGGAATACCTCGTCCGCTGGGTCACGGAGTCCGCGAACCCTACAGACGTACCTTTCTCGTACCACGATGCAGACGAGCTAGCGTCGTGTCTACCGCTCCTTCAAGTCTACTTGGAGAGCTTAGACAAGGACAAGCCAAGGTCAGTAGGATCTGCTTCGCGCGTTTCACCTCTCATCTACGCGTGTTGTCCCTCCCCTTATCACCCTCACACCTGCTCACGTGACACAGTAGGGCCTCGAGAAAAAGAAAGCACGATGAGAGACAACCTTTTCGCCCGTCACCTGCGGAGAGATTGACAGCTCCGTCGAGGTCTTCGCCTGCGAGTCCGTCACCCTCCCTATCCTCAACGGACCTTTCGAACCTACAGATCTCTTCGGACCAGATCCCATCCGTCTACAATGGCACCTTGAGGTGCAGGGATGAGTTTATCACCATGGTAACAGTATGCACACCACGATCTTCACATTGAGTCGCAGGCTTGTTGCTACAGAATTGACATGGAATCGCAGTCGTCGCGCCCGGACGTCGCGAGAATTGACGTCCGTCACGTACCAACTCCGGCAATGACAGCTGTCGCTCAAATGTCAACCACTCTGCAAGCCCAAAAGCGGATACGTGACGAAGTTGTTCGCCGCCTAGACACCCTCCCAGGTCCGAGAGTCACTCTGGTCAACACTGTCGACTCCACCTCACCACCACTTGACTTCCAGTTCATCGCCAAAAACATACTGGGCGAAGGTGTTTACGCCGCGGATCCTGCGACCAGGACGGGATGCAGCAAATGCAAGGCGCACATGGGACAGGGCATTGGCTGCGAGTATTCCAAGATATGTGACTGCCTGGAGTACGCGGCAGTCCACGAGAGCGAAAGGATGTTACCCGAAGAGCGCGAACGATGGGAGATCATCAAGGAGGTCGGCGGAGGTGATACTGCGGGTCTTCCCAAGAAGTTCCCGTACTACAGCAGCGGTGCCAGGCAAGGCTGCCTCGTCCCATTCTACCTCGAGCGGCGCTTCCCGATCTACGAGTGTAACGAGAACTGCCAGTGCGGCCCCGGATGCAAGACGCGCATCGTGCAGTTCGGACGCCAGGTCAGGCTCGAGATTTTCCGGACCAGCAATGGGCGCGGATGGGGTCTCCGCTGCAAGCAGAAGCTCATGAAGGGCCAATTCATCGACACCTACCGGGGTGAAATCATCACGGACGCCGAGGCAACCCGCCGCGAGAAGAAGTCCATCGGCAGCAAAGACTCGTACCTCTACTCTCTCGACAAGTTCGCGGAAACGCTCGGCATTCAGCAAGAAGACCTCTATGTCATCGACGGTCAGTACAAAGGCGGTCCGACGCGCTTCATCAACCACTCCTGCGAGCCCAACTGCCGCCAGTACGTCGTCTCATACAACAGACATGACCCAAAGGTCTACGAGATCGCCTTCTTCGCAACCCGTGACATCAGCGCCGGCGAGGAGTTGACGTTCGACTACCTGGACAAGGATGAAGAGGACGAAGACGAGGAGGAGGCCCCAGACCCTGAGGAGCGCAAAGACGGCGGAATCAAGCCCACCAAGTGTCGCTGCGGTGCCAAGAAGTGTCGCAAATGGCTTTGGATCTGAGCCACATGCGGCACGACAGCACAGACGGATGAACGATAGCAAAGGGAGTTGCAGTCTGCGAGCGTCTCGGACGAGCGGACGGGCAAAGCCTAGGCAAGCAGCTGGTTGGCGGGCTCTTTCACCTCACAGGCATCGCGCGTGTGCGGTCGCTCCGGCTGCGCCATCATCCTTCCCAACAGTGGGATCTATTCGAAGCCCCCACTGACACTGGTTTGCATTTCCTATCCTTCTTTTCTTTTTCTCTTCTTGCACGTTTGCCAGCACAGGCACACCCCGAAGGGCAGTCCCGCTACACGACACGACCCGCTGCACCAAAAACGACGCGCGCCAAAGCCGAAGACTCGGGCGCTTCAGCGCAACACAACCTAGCAGCTTGCCTACACGCGCCGAGCTGCGCACACTCCGACCTGGCCGGCACTACGCACGAGCACCAGCTGCAGAAGCGCGCCCTCGATCAGTATTTCGTAGCCGAGCAAAGGGAGGCCAGGACCGGATTCCACAGCAGCCTCGGGCATTGACAGACGAGCGAGCGAGCAGGCGGGTGGGCAGACATCTAATCATCACCCGAGTTCCCCATTCCCCATTTCCCTTGTCGTCCCTTTTCCCCTTTCTAGTCCTCTTCACATACTGTAGGCAGCAAATGGAGGATTCTGCTTAGATCTAGACCGTGCGCATGCGTGACTATTACGCGCTATCGTGACTGACTGGCTATTGGCGATGGGCTTTGCCAGGGAGGCTGTGCTGTGCTGTGCTGTGTTGTGCTGTTGGGTTGGGTTGTGTTGGGCCCTGGCAGCGCTGCTGTCCGCGAATAGGCAAAGCACCTGCGCTACGGATGGGATGAGATGGGGAGAGGCGGAGGCGTGCGCGGAGCGGCGAGCGTGCTCCTTGCTGCCTGCAGTACGTACATACATATGTGAGATGAAGTGGCTGCACATGCGCGCGCGCGGGCGCGCAGACGCGACAGCGTACGCTTGCGCTCTTTTTCGCCCGGGCAAGGCGTGCAAAAGACTAGGTATTAAATGAGCAGGATCTAGCTGTGTAGGCATATGTACTGTGCATACATACACATACCGACGAACGCCCTTTTGCCGGTCCGGTTGGAAGTCTCATGGAAACGCCGTGGCCGGTCTTGACGGTACATGCATGCATGTACGTACCTACCCCGCAACGACGCGTGCGCGCGCAGACGGCCACCACGGCGACAGCTAGGTAGGCGGAAAAGTCGTCAAGTGCGCATACCCGTCGTATACCTACTCTAGGTACGGGAGTACTTTGCGCGCGCAGGCAATGGGAGCAAAGGCCATGGAAGGCAGGCCTCGGACCGCGCCTCAACTGCCGGCGCTACCCCACACCTGCCGCGCTGCCCCACCTTGGGTAGGTGCTTACCCCTCCACGAGGAGTCGTCGCGGCGCCGCGGCCTCGCCCTCTTGTATT